ATCATCTACAATTCACACAACCGTTGGTGAATTGTTTTAAAAACGATTTCGATGACTTTAACACCTCTCCAGCTTCTTAAGATTGAGAAAAAGTTTAGGGGTTGTACTTCCTATGTAATGTAATTTGAAGCCAAAAAACGTGGTGCAATCTGTTTGAGATGGTCTACCACAAATGACAATCTTCTGTGTCAAGTGATAAATCAATCAGCTGTTTGCTATGATACTGCATTGATTTTAATTCATAGTACCTGGGGACCGAGCTTAGCTCGGGGAAAATCATTAGTTTACTCTGTTTACATCACATGGGAAGTCTATAGTCAATGGTTGTAATTAACTTCGTGTGACGTATATTTGGGTAAGGAAATTGTGAGATGAAGACGTCTATTGTTTCAGTCTTATGTCAACATAAATAATAACACTATACTACATTTCATCTTAATTATTACACGCCATGTGGTTCACGGAGAATTAGAAGCTCGATGGTTTAGCTATTGTGGATTTCAAAGGAGGTCCACGTGTATTTTCTGTAAGAGTAAAAAGATCGCATATTTCAATATTATTCTGGGGTCTAGCTCTTGGAGAGCTACCTCCTTCTCTCCCAGGTGGTGACTAGCACGTGTGTCCGTGTGTGGACCGTGGAGGATGTGTAGCTCTTGGTGAGCTACCTCCGTCCCTCCCAGGTGGTGACTAGAAAGTGTGTCCTTGTGGGAGGTGTCTAGCTATTGGAGAGCTACCTCCGTCTCTGCCAAGTGGTGACTAGCACGTTTGTTCGTATGGGGGTGTCTAGCTCTTGGAAAGCTACCTCCGTCTCTCCCAGATGGTGACTAGCACGTTTGCCTGTGTGGAAGGTGTATAATTCTTGGAAAGCTACCTCCGTCTCTTCCAGGTGGTGACTAGTACGTTTGCCTGTGTGGAAGGTGTCTAATTCTTGGAAAGCTACCTCCGTCTCTTCCAGGTGGTGACTAGCACGTGTGTCCGTGTGGGAGGTGGTCCTCTCGTGAGTTCAAGGTCTTCCCCTTTCTTCTTTCTTCTGGCTCCATTAGGAAGCATTCTCTTGTGACCTACTTTGGATCCCTTGGATTGACTTTCAGTGTCAGCAAAGAGACGAGGATCGAGAAAAGCAACAAAAGAGCAGAGATGAAATTAAGGCTGAGAATGATGTGGAATCAAAGCTCAGACTGAATGTGTAAAGTCATGATATCATGTAGCTATAAAGAAAGGAGATGAAAAGTACATGAGTGCTAAGAAAACAGTTAATTTCTAGACTGAGAATCCTTCACATCCTTCACGGTATTAAAATCGCCACCTTTGATTGAAGCATTATGATTTGAATTAGGATAACGTGAACTGTTGAAGTTCTTTCAGCACATTTACAAACAAAGCGTCTTATTCTTATACCTACGGATCAAGTAACTTTGAAAGCAAATCTTACCTCTGCCTCCAGTGCACCACAACAACACTGCGCGAAAGTCACTGAGCTACAAATAGAACAAAACAAACCATCTAAACAAATAGTATTCCACGCACGCTACTAGCATTGCCTTCGACGGAGAGGAAAGAATGCCTAAACGGCCTTGGTTAGGTGGGGAAAGTCACAGCGCAACAACGTGTAGCAGAGCCTGTCCCAAGTGTTCCACTGGGTCATTGGAACAGATAGATAGAGAGAGAGGGAAACCGGCCCTCTATCTCTCTTTGTCGCTCGCATTATTTTTACTATCAGAGGTGAACGGCCCGCCAACTAGGTTAGGGCGGTAAACACAACGCCGCCGCGGGAATTAGCAGTTTTCACTCTCTTAGGTTGGTAGTACTGCGGACGTGACTCAGTCAGCTGACTAGCAGACAGCTGAGGGAATGTCAGTTGTTACCATGCAGATTAAAGTGGGTTGGGGGTAAGACAGTAGGCCTATCTACTCTGGTAAACTCTCCGCCAATTGATTGTGAGTGTAATGACACTTTCCTGGATGAGTTCAAGCAAATTGCTCGATTACAGGAATCTAAAGTTACTTCTCTTTAATCCAGAATAGTGAAATTATCGTATCCTTAAAATTCATAAGCCCCTTACTATTAGGCGATCCCATCCTCTTAGATTTGTTATGTCCATCGTGATTGTCAGCTAGGTCAATATGGAAACGAAATTACCGACTACCAAATCGTTTCATTTCCATGACTTATTTTTTTAAAACAATTAGAATAGATCTCTCATCAAACAAATTTCATTGGTCATCAATAATTGATCATATTATAGGGTTATCAACCAATATGATATTGGCTGAAGAAGCTTCTTCGAAAGCGTTGTTCATAGAACCGCAAACTGAGTGAACTTTTAGTTCTGTTCTCTCATATTGATATTGTATAGTAATGCTCTTCAATATACAGCACACAAACTATTTATCACAGAAGTTTATATGAAGTTGAATTAGCTTTTTGATTTATTTGGTTCACCAGCTGTCGTTTGAAAGTGCAATCTAAATCCATCATAACTGTGCTTTGGTCAGAGTGGTGGGACCGCTTCGACTCTGGCCCAGTAGAATTACTGCCAAAAATTAGACCATAGATCAAGACGGCCCAGTTCCCCGCCTAGTCAGCTGTGACCACAAAACAGCTGATTGTGACCGAGTCCCCCGCTAGTTTTTCAACTGACCTAACCTCTTTCTGGCGGTTGTAGAGCGATCGAAACAAAGAAAACCATCAGCCTCCATGGGCGATGGGGAGGAAAATTAGAAACTACCAGAAAACTAATTGAAATATAAGAAGGTATTGTAAAGTATAAACCAGCAGGAGCAGGACATCATTCTCACCTGAAGGGAATGCTTGCTTATCCATTTAGAACGTTTGTCAGAAAATGAAAGGACAACAAACTTAAACATTTTCCCCTGAAAAGTCAAGATGTGAACAAATGTTTTAAAACGTCAAGAGTTTGATTTAAAACATAATTTGATAATTTATCTATACTAATATATAAATACCCCCCGCCGTAGCAAACCTGCAGATTAAGAAATTTTATCTATATATAAATAGGACAGTATGTATCTTGAAACCCCCTTTTCTCACCTAGCTCTTGTGCATTGTTACGAAACTCTATACGCATACTAGAAATATATTTTCCTGTAGATGTGCAGAATCCCTTTATAAATTAAAATAGGCTTAAAAATAAGGACAAAAAGAATGTTTTTATCATAATTTATTTTACAATCTGTTCATAAGAATAATATAAGAAAATTAAGTAAAATAGGAAAAAATGGCAGGAAGCAAGCACCTGTTCATCAATAAGTCTTGCAAACATTTTAATCAATCATTTAAAGAAATCTGTAGCTCATGTCCAACACATGAACAACACTGTTTAGTCTGATTATACAGTGACTATTGTCCAGCAGATTAACAGCCAGACTGTTTTTGGACGATATTCTAAATTTTCTCTGTACTTTTTGCTATGGTCTGTAATGTCTTCTTTCACTGATTAAATTTTAAAATCGTTCCTAATTGTAGTGTTAAATACGAATCAAACCAAGGTGCGCCAATAATTCTTCTCAACGTCTTAGCCTAAAATCGTTCAAGAATTTCAATGTTGGATTTGCTTGAGGTCCCCCAAAGTTGAATGCTGTATGTCCAAATTGGTTTGATCATAGCTTTAAATAGTAAAATTTCGTTAGTCAATGATAATTTCGAATTTGTACCTATTAGCCAATTGAGTTTACGAATTTTTAATTCCATTTGCTGTCACTTGCACCAGATATGAGATTCCCAATCTGTTTTTCGTCAAGAGTTAGACATAAATATTTTACGCTGTCTGCCTCCGTTAAAGCTACATTATTAATGGAAACTGGAGGATTGTACTCTGTTCTCAGAGTAAAGTAAAACAATATGTTTAGACTTTTTTCGTTGAATTTTATCCTCCACTTTTTAAGCCAATATTGGAGCTCATTCAAGGCAGCTTGCAGATTAATGGAAGCGACTTGAGGGTCTACATGACTTGACAACAGTGCAGTGTCGTCAGCGAATGTAGCAACTGGTTGTGACGTTAGGACCATAGGGATGTCTGCTGTGCATATCAAATATAGCAAGGGGCCAAGGATACTCCCTTGAGGTACTCCAGACTGTATCGGCCTCAGAGCAGATAACGAATTTTCGAAATTTATTTGAAAATATAGATTGGTCAGATATGTTTTAGACGGTTAATACAAAGAGTGAGGGAGAAACGTTTTGAGTTTAAACAGAAGTCCAACATGCCACACCTTTTTAAATAAAGTACATCCAAAAATGCAGCAGAACAGTACTGTTTTTTCTCAAATGTGTTTTTTTATAATATTCACTAATCTGTGAGTTTGTTCAATGGTGGAATGTTGTTTGCGGAAGCCGAACTGATGATCGGGTTTTTACTTTTAATTCATCTACAGTGGGATCACTAAAAATGAATTTAAAATAAAAAATTAACATGGGCCTTATATGGGTTGCCATGCTGGTGACGAAATAACACGAAATATAAACAGAAAATCAAAACAAATGTAAGAAATTCCAATGACATGTTTTATTTACAGTATGAGGTGAAATTAAATGAGTCTGTACATTACCTATTTCTGGTTGAGTTTTCAACCACTGGACGACCTCTAGTATATTTAATTAGGCAATGCGAGTAGTTTCATCTATGTAATATCATTTTTACATGCATGGAGACGTCAAGTTGTTTTCATACAATTGTATGCGTCACATATTCAATCAATACCTAAATAAAATAGGGGTTAAAAAATGGAATTTAAAAAATATAATACATAATCTGAGGTTCAATGAAATATAAAAATACAATACAGTGCCTGGAGTTAAAGGTGGCTGTGACAGGTCTTTAACAAGCAAGTATAATTATGAATTAACCAACGGGTTAGAACCTTTAGAAGTTCTCTTGGTCTCTTCCATTATGCTTCTGCTTAAACAGCTGTTATTTTTTCTGCTAGTACCACTACACTACTCCTATCTGCTAGCCTTAAAACAGCTGATTGGATCGGATCAATTTCAAGATCAAAAACAAAACAGAAAACATTGAATTAAAACAAACGAAAATGTAGTTTACAGGATAGTCGTTTTTATAAAATATTAGTTTTCCTTCAATAAGTAAGTAAGTAGACTTCTTAGAAAATCTTGTAAGTTAGTTATTTTTATTTAAGTCTCACTTACACCCTAAATCTTTATGGTACATTAAAATACAAAATTATTAGGCCTAACTTAGAAGATTTTCTGAAATTTTTGCCTCCACAGTCAACTGTCAAGAATTTATCTAAATACCTTTATAATCTAAATATGTTTAGGTTATTTGTTAAACAAATCAGGTAGGCTACTTTAAAATTGGTTCAAGTAAGTTAGACCTACAATGGAGCTAGTTTTCTAGGTAGGCTACTGTAAGTTAGGCCTAATTTGGCAACTTAATGGTCTAATAATACGAGAATCAATTTTCTAATGATTTACTCTTCATACTTACTAGGATAACTTATTTAGTATTTGCTTGGATGGATGGGCTGGCTATCAAACTAACCTATGTTCGCCAGGTTTATTTTCATTTCTAGGTCTATGTAAGTTACTTAAGTAATCAACTGGTAAGCTTAGGGTATTCAACTCATTTTCTAGAACCGATTAGGTCGAAACATGTCTTACATTAGTTTAATTTATAGGATAAGTTATAGGAAACCTATGCTCTGTGAAAAGACTCAGGACTTAGGCATTTTCAACTTTTTTAGGTTTTCGTAAAAGACACACAATGCTCCCACCTCAGGGTCCGTCTGGAGTTCATCATGGCCTAATGACAGCAGAAGCTTTAAGGAGACTATACAAAGAAGTTGAAGAAGTTCTCAACGAGTACAGTATAAACAGCAAAACGAGGTAGGTCAAGGTGTAAGACTTAATGAATATGTTGGCTAAACCTGCAGTAGGCCTACAGCTAGATTACTTGCCTAAAACATTGTAAATAGTGTAGGCCTACATAGTTATTTAGTTTTATCCTTGACACAGGCCCGGTCTGGCTCCATTGGAGGCCCTCGGCTAGATGTTGATTTGAGGCCCCCAGCCAGAAATAAAACAAGGACCATGGGGGTGCTCTCACGGCAACAATTAGTTAAAGGGGCCTAAGGTGGTTTTAAATGATTAAAAGTTTTTGATAATTTTGATTAAATTAATAATTGCTAAATTTCCATAAATTAAAATCTTTGTACTTATAAATTTAATTCCAAGGTATCAATCAATTTAAATTTGATATAAAATTTGCTCGTATTTCAATTCACCTCTACAGCTGCCATAAAATTTAAAGGCCTATTCTTAAAATTGTTTTAAGTCTTCAATTTAAAATAAGACCAAAACCTAGTTCTTGGAGCTTTTGCCATACGTGGTAAAAAAGCATATCACGTACCACTTTTGAATTTTGAATACATATATGAATAAAGCACATTTTACTGTTTATCACACACTTTACTCCATAGTTGTACTTCAGCAACAAAGACAAACAGAAATAATCAAAAGTATTTTAATTTAAACGTTGTAGGCTTACAAAAAACTTCTGATGATTTCCACCTGCCTGTTTGCGACTTCTCATTGTTAGCAGAATCGGAACTGAAACCCCAGCTAACCTGCTAACCTTAAATTCAAACAGTTTGACTTTAATTTGTTTTTATTTTGAAATATTTCCTATACATTTTTATTTTACTTGCGCCACTTGGGTGCACACGTTTCATTTTATAAACTGAACGATTCACGTGTTAGTAATCTTTCAAACAATACGTCATAACCCACTACGTAGGAATGACTGGAAACAGTCGTCGGTGATTAAACTAGTCGTAACACCATACTCGACCTTTTGGTGTTGAGATGAGGCTGACAGGTCGAATAAAATCAGTTGTAGATAAACTGACGGATAGGAATTGGGAACAGTTTTTAGGGATGATACATAAAATGTAATTGCATTTATTTTTGTTGTTTAGAAAAATATAAAATTGCCAAGACACTGTGTTTTATATACTGATGATTTAGATTTTAATGCCTGTAGTAAAATCTGTTTTAAAAACCAGGTAACAAATAAATAGGAATATTTGTTATACTGAGTTAAAGACATTAGGCCTACTGAATAATTTAAATCTTGCAGTCATGTAATAAACTAAAAATTTTTAATTAATTGTAAATGTTGTCATTCTATTACGTTTTATACCAAAGTAACAAAATATTAATGCAAATGACAACAAACAATAGGAATCAAGCGGGAAAACTCCAATGTTTAAAGTAAAATTATATTCGATAATTTTCTTTGCAATGACTGAAACCACTGCACCGATTGAACGCCACCAGTTGTTGTAGTGGAATTCTCTCGGTTTTTCATTCGACTGAGAAAAAAACCACTGGTTTTAAAAACAACCGATTGACAAATTGACTAGTCGATAGTTTTTTCCAGTCGGTTGTCCCATCACTATACTAGTACAAGCGCTAAGCTGTCTGCTTGAGTCCAGACACCAGACATATCGCAGACGCGCCGGCACGGCAATGTCTCGTCACTACCGCGGAGCGCTGGGCACTGAGCTGATTCGAACGGTGCGTTGCAGTGAGATCGGTGACTATCCTCTAGTGCCGAGTGACTATCACTGTACTTAGGGGCTACCCCTACTGTAATTCAATTTGAAAAAGAGTATTGTTTATTAAAAATTGTTTTTGCAAGACTACGTCGCTGTGAAACAGTTAAACAAAATATTTTTTTATTATAACTAAATTTGTTTGAATTGATTTTTTGGCTTTTGGAGGCCCCCTTGAGCCGGAGGCCCTCGGGGATCGCCGACCAGCCGCCCTGGCCAGACCGGGCCTGCTTGACACAGTCTATCCAGAAATTCTGGCCAACGATGTTGCAGCAGGTATTAAAGATGGTATTAGAGCTCAACAAAATTTTGACACACTGGATCCTAGCAAGTATTATCCATGATCACTTGGAAGTTAGCCTTTAAGTAAGTACAGTGATAACCAATAAGTAATATTACAAACATAGCTAAGCAAAGTGAGTTTCTTATTACAGTTCTGTCGCTTATAGGCTAGCCTATAGTGAAATTAAATGATAAAGTACTTTATTCAACAAAATTAAATATTATACACAGCACATAGCAGCTTAGAAAAAATAATTGAGGTATACTTCCGCAGAATACCTATTAGTGTTTATTATTGCTGCGTTAGTCTTCGATATGTTGATCTTACTATGCCCCTGCTCATCCCTGTTTTGTACTTCATGTCCTTTGGGTTTAACAAGGTTAAATGTGATCTCACCGAACTCTAAATTGTCTATTGATGCTGCAGACGACCATGGGTAGTCGAGGCGTTGCATCACTCGAGTCGTCACTCCCGTATCTCTTGGCTGTCAACCCTCGTTTTGTTAGTGTCTGCAGCTATATTTCTCCTAGCGCCTGTACTCAATCACAGACTTGAAGGGTAAGTAGTTTTTGACATTCAGAAAGATTGGTAGAAAGTAAAATAGTTTTAATCCTGGTTGTGATCTCTGACACTTTTTCAATTCCGTGTAGCCTACTTCTCTTAGTTAAAAAAAAAATTTAAAATGTTTTGACTCGTTTTTATTACTACACATTAATATTTTATAGTTATATTTTTTGCAGGGATCGATGTATTCAGCTGCAAGGACTTATCGTGTTGGTATTACTGATGGTCAACTTGATATTCAACCTGCTTGACTCAAAACTTCGACATGAGGAAATGTACAAGAAAGCAGTAAAAATCACAGCCATATTGAAGAGTAAGTTTAGTTTTATGCAAAAATATGTACAAGTCCTTACAATTCACTTTTCCTGCTGGAACGCCCTTTAAAGTGTGGTTGGCTGCCTTATTTTACCATCTATTTTTCTGTCCAAGTAGACCTTAGGCCTCTACGTACGGATATGTCAAGTAAACTAAAGGGTTAGTCCGAAGTTAACAAAATCTCTAGTTTGGTTTTGCAATCCGTTGTGGTATTGACTGAGCCACTGACATTAGCCTCAGAAACATCAAGGCAATTAAGTTAAAATGTTCATTGATAGCTACGAACTGTAGAAAATATTTTAAACTGTCGAATAGAATTGCTTGTAGTAGGCCTACCATACTGATGATGCTACATTGTATGGCAATGACATCGATTAGACACTCTCAGATTTATTGTCGATGTGAGTTGGGGTTGAATTGAATTTGTAGGAATGTTAATGTCTGCTGATGATTGTATTAATATTATTCTTTAGGTTTTTACCAATATTTAAATCATTCTCGTTGTCTGGTTCTGTTAGGAAAGCAAAATATTCTACAGTAAAATTCACTGTAAAATGAAAGTAACATACTAGTAACATTTAGTCAACATCCAACACACAATTGTTGCTGGACTTGAAACTTCAACCAACACAATTTTCTGTTTTTACAGTAGGAATGCCATTTTAGATTTTGATGACATGTGAAGTTTAGCGTTAACTTAACATGTTATTTCACTCACAGGATGCAGTGAGGTGTGCAACTGGAAGGCAGATAACTACCCTCACCTCTGCTCCCCCTACTCTCCATGTATCACACTGCAGTGGACCTACAGAGACGGTACGTACCGCAAACTCGGAACTATCTCAACATTGAAAAAACATTTGAAAGTTGGCCAATTCACAGTTAAATCAGAGAGGGTTGAAAAGATTAAAATTGAAAGTTGGTTTTGCCCTAGGTTACATATACAAATTTGGTCAAAACATTTCTTCAAGTAGGCTATATTTCATGTGTGTATTAAAGAGAGGTTAACAATAATAATTGTAAATGTTGAGGCACCACTTATAACACCAAAACTTGATTTTGGATGCATTTTACATTTTTTATTAATTTTCGAAGAGCATGCATGCACTATGCCCAATCAATTACCAGTACCGTATTCATTTGGGGGTTGTAAAAACAAAAAGTAACAATTCCACAAATAAATACCAGTAAGTCTTTCTCAAGGGATAACACTTTAAGTTTAGGGCTCTAAAAAGGTTTGGAGTTGTGGATAAAGTGAAGATATTGCATTGTGTGCAGTATTTTGATTGTACGATTTTTTTAAGTAGCCTAACATTAAAATGTTATGCTAAATTATTATTTCTAGTGAAATTTACTGAGAGATTTAACAATTCAGGCTTGAAATCGACCAAAAAATAGTTCAAAAATTTTAAAATTTTAACAGTTTATGGCCAATATATTTTTGAATGTATATTATATTTTAAAACTAGCTGAAAATCACAAATCGAGTTCACACACCACTATAACACACGGAGGAAATTTGAAACAAAGTTAGAGAAGTTATAGGCCTAAGGAAGTTCACAAGGCTATATCTACTCATCTTTAGGTTGGATTCGGTCACATAGTTAAAATTTAAATTCTTGCTACTGCTACTTCTTTATATTGGTGGGCATATATATGTTTAGGGAGATTAGTCAACCTACCCTGGGCCTTGTTAGTGGGAGGAGACACGGTGATGATACGACCTGGGCAACCTGCTCCTGGACACTGTGTACCACTAGATGTGAGTAACGTAACACAACCGAACTTAAGTTAATAATTATTTAAGTGTATGTAATGTTGGATGTAACCAGGATTCCCATTTAAAAAGCAGAATTCTAAAGATTGTCGTGGCAATACTCAGTTCAATCAGTCAATCAATTATTTAAGACAAGGACGCCACTATGTGCGTATTTTAACCCAAATATGAAGGATGAGTGGCACGATCTTGTTAATGACAGTCCGAAATGTTCCTTAGACACAGCTGTTAATTAATAGCCAGTTAAAATTACTGAGCCAGCCGTTAATTTGACTCTGACTTAAAATATATATTTTAGGAATTTTTTATATTTTGTTGTTAAGTTTTAAATAATTTTTTACCACATTCTTGCTGATAAATATTTACACAACGATTTTGTGTGTAATTTAACACATTCACTATTCACTACCAGGTGATACAAGGTTCCTCATACAAGGAGTTTGAGTGTGATGGCTGCAAGGCAACATGTTAACGTAGGCCTGCTGCATATAACTTACCTTTGTCTGCAATTTAGTTGAATGATGGTTACACAGTACACAGTTTTAGAAGCTCATTATTTGTCGGACATTTATCTTATTCAATTGTTGATCATGAGTCTTTGTGCGAAATTGACAAGCAAACATTATGAGTACCGGTAGGAATATATAACTTCTGTTTTGGTGGTCGTTTGTTACATTTAAGTTATTTTTTTACACAAAAGTTTACTAAATACAAAGAGTTTCAGGTAAGCTGTCATTCGCAGCCTAACGTCATAGTGTCCTGGATATGTCTAGAGATTTTCATTTGAAACCGTTTAGGAACCCAGGAAAACAAAATTAACCCTTTGATAAACTTAATATTAAAATTACCCTATACATGTTCAGGAAACCATTATGATTTGATTTGTTCTTCATTTAAGTTGAGTTTTAGGCGTTGGAAAAGAAAAAAGTTATGTTTTTAGATAGGGATGGACGGGTCCCGAAATTTCGGGAATTTTTCGGGAAAAAAATATTCCCGATTATCGGGACGGGATTACATTTGACTCGGGAATTTTTCGGGACGGGATTTGGTCCGATCGTCGGCGATTTTTCCGCTTCGCGAGTGCCGATAACGCCGTTATTGCGAGCGATAGGTCCGCGAACGCAGGAGACGAAGTCATTTCGACGATTATGCCGTGACCGCGGAGTCCTACCGACGACCGCGCCGTGACCGCGAGTCATACCGACGATCGCGCCGTGACCGTTGAGTCCTACCGACGATCGCGCCGTGACCGCGGAGTCCTACCGACGATCGCGCCGTGACCGCGAGTCATGATCGCGTCGTGACCGCGAGTCATACCGACGATAACCCCGTGACCGCGGAGTCATACCGACGATCGCGCCGTGACCGCAAGTCATACCGACGATCGCGCCGTGACCGCAAGTCATACCGACGATCGCGCCGTGACCGCGGAGTCCTACCGACGATCGCGCCGTGACCGCGGAGTCATACTGACGATCATGCCGTGATGGCGGAGTCATGCTGACGATCGAGCCGTGATCGCGAGTCATACCGACGATCATGCCGTGACCGCGAGTCATACCGACGATAACCCCGTGACCGCGGAGTCATACCGACGATCGCGCCGTGACCGCAAGTCATACCGACGATCGCGCCGTGACCGCGAGTCATACCGACGATCGCGCCGTGACCGTGGAATCATACCGACGATAACCCCGTGACCGCGAGTCATGACGACGATCGCGCCGTGACCGCGAGTCATGACGACGATAGCGCCGTGACCGCGAGTCATGACGACGATCGCGCCGTGACCGTGAGTCATGACGACGATCGCGCCGTGACCGCGAGTCATGCTGACGATCGCGCCGTGACCGCGAGTCATACCGACGATCGCGCCGTGACCGTGGAGTCATACCGACAATAACCCCGTGACCGTGGAGTCATACCGACGATCGCGCCGTGACCGCGAGTCATACCGACGATCGTGCCGTGACCGCGAGTCATGACGATGATCGCGCCGTGACCGTGGAGTCATACCGACGATAACCCCGTGACCGCGATGTCATACCGACGATCGCGCCGTGACCGCGAGTCATGACTACGATCGCGCCGTGACCGCGAGTCATACAGACGATCACCCCGTGACCCGCGAGTCACAAGTTTCTATAGGTACCTGTAAATTGTTACCCATTTTTTGGTTTTTATAGATCAGTGCCACAAATGGTAAAAATTGATTTCTTATGTCTTTTTTGGTAACTGCAATACAGTACTTTCTTTTTATGCCCAGAAAAAAATCCCGTCCCGTCCCGTCCCGAAAATCGGGAAGGAAATAAAAATCCCGTCCCGTCCCGTCCCGAACTAAAAATTCAATCCCGTCCATCCCTATTTTTAGACAATGATTGAGTTCAACCTTTAAAAATGTAGAAGATTAATTTATTCTTGCCACTAAAGTAAAAGTATTTACAGTAGTTGGTGATAGATCAGTTTTGCCTTGCAGTGTCTTGTTTCGGTTTGTGTTCATTTCTGTTACTGATCTGAGTCTATTCTCGCAGGACAAAGACTGTCCAGAGCTACGTAGAGGGGAAGTGTACAGTCCGCTGCCTAATGGTGGGGGACACGAGGCGTTCTCCACACCCATGGCTAGACTGCCACTGCCGTCACAGGCTTACGTCATGAAGGAGACACCGTACTTACGCAACTTGCGACAGGTTGGTATTTTGTATTCAACCCCTCCGTGATTGTTTGAGATTGGGATTGTTAAATAAAACTTGTGCAGTAATTTATTTTAAGACCGTAATGGATGGGTGATAGATGACTGGGTATAGGTCATCTTAAGGCACTGGTCTACTGTCCACTACCTTGTCCTGTAGGCCTACATAATGCTATGACCCATAGGTAGACCAAAACCCCCATATCAGTCATTCACTACAGTTTAACTGTGGTAATCGTAAACGTTGTTCTCAATGTTGTTGTGTCTGTAGTGTTCTTGATTATTGTGTGTTGTTTTGACTCTTACTTTCGCTCAAGAGTTATGTTGCTCACCGTCAGTTGGTCATGTTGGTTATGTTTTATGTTGCACCATGTAGACCTACATGTTGGTCTTGAGGTAAGATGATGTGGTCGTGGTGTAAGGGATGAATAAGAGATCTACAATAAGATATCAAACAGATTGTGCAATAGCAATATGTTCCCTTGTGAATTTCAATGTATCACAATTTAGTAAAATTTGAGTCCACTACAAACTTATGTTTTGTAATATTTTCTAAAAATCAAAACCGTTCAGATTTAATTTGTATATTGGTAGTTTGTATTTGTGGTCTAGAGTTTTGTGATTAAAAATTGTAAACTTGCTACATGTTTCCAAAAGATTTTTCTTTCTTAGGCACTAAACGAAGCAACCTTGCGACCTCCAACGTTTCACGATCGTAGACGTCATCTTCTAGTCAGCAACTGTGTGGAGCAGTTAGCACTGCTGGCTATGTGGGTTAGTACTTTGCTACCTGACTGACATAACTCTTCTGTTCCTCAGTGTGTCGCCAAGTCCTCTTCCTTCTCCATCCGCACACAGTTCCTCTTCCACTACCATCTGCCTTCTCCCTAATTTCTTCCTCTTCTGCACATTGCTGTGCCTCTTATCTACCTTCATCTAAGGCTTCTTTAATCCCATTCTTAAATTGGTCTTAATCTTGATTTTTCAACTCATCCTCTCAAGTTGTGTTCAACTACCACTCCTTTGATTTCCTCATTAATATTTTTAACAAGTTTTTTTGAAATGTCTTAGTATTAAACCTTACTTGGATGATAATAAAAGTGAAATGTTGTTTATTTAGTGCAAAGTTGGGTTCGTTGAGAAAGAATGTACTCCTTATAGTCATAGTCAAATATCTTTATTCATGTATATTTATAAATGGTACAATGGATAGTGTCATAAACATAACTAAAGTAACCTAAAACTTTTGACAAAACTGTGTCAAACAGAAGTTTTTGTTTAGCTCAATTTTTAATCAACTAGGGTTAAAAACCAATCATGCTATCACAACAACATTCCTTCATACTGAGGTGTGAGGTGATGTTTTGACAGTTGGTAGCCCTGCTGGTGAACACGTTGCGCTACGTGTATGTCTCGGACTGGCTCAGTAGCGGGTCTATGTACGAGATGCTGCTGCTTGGACCCTTGACTACAGTGTTGCCACTACTGCCACTCGTGCTGCCTTGCGCGTGGATCGCGCTCAACAGTTACGGCAACGCTAGACTGATTGCGTTGCAGCACATCCAAGAGTCTCCCAAGGTATTGTGAATATTTGGTTTCACTGTCTTGCTTGATTAATTCACTTTTAAGATTTTGGTTAAGGAGTTTGTTTGGAGAGTGACAGAGGTCAGCTATCTTACCTGAGCAAATTATATTTTGAATGATTAAGATCTGAAAGTACTCAATTTGGATTATAGAAGCAAGGTCCTTTCAATCAGGACTTACTTACTTGTTAGTTTTGTTCATGAAAATGCTCTAAGCCAGGATTTTGAATTTTAGATAAAGGAGGATAGCAGCTAGCTTAGGCCATACACTTGTGTGCACAGTGTATTTTCTACATGTTCTATGGCCTATTTATACTTTCAATGTAAGCTACCTGCTATCCTCCTTTTACTTGTGTATAAGGACGTTGCTTCTATAAACCTAATTGAGTAGAAATTGAGTCCGTATAGCTTAGACAAGTAAGTCGACAATATAACATAATAAAACATATAAAACATGTGCCAGAAATAAATAATTGCCCGTAGACTATTGACACTTTGTCTAGATCAATCAGTATAAGAGTATTTTTTTTTTCTAATCAGCGTCCAAATGCTTTGATTCATATACTTTGATTCTACTGTTCTAAGTATATCAAAATTATTTTAGTTTTGTTTTTCTCACTTATTCGTTCACTCCAGTACCTACCTCTACTGTAGGCCTACCTTAACTAGTATACCTTCAACATATATTGCAGGAGGAATGTGACCCGTTTGACGAGACAGACTTTGAAGATACCAAGACATCCTGGAGTTCTCCGTCCTGTCTACAGGTGAAACAGCTGTTCTGGGATGTGCTGTGTGGACGAGACCACAGTCTGGCCAGGAGTGCCAACCTACTACACGTGCTCGGCTCTGTCACGGTTGGTATACCTGTTAGTCATATAGAACATGGTTTAGCGACCTAAGACTTGATGATTTGATAGTTAATTATGAACCTACCTAAGCCATATGCATTTACCCTGGTCCTTTTACCATCTAATGTTGACCTTTTGTCACATAGCATCATTAACTGATAGCCCATTGTCAAATGCTATCTGGTTTGAGTAACAATCTCGCTTGGATCGAACAAACAATCTTCAGATGTGAAGACAAACTCTATAACCACTTAATTACTCAGCCAATTAGTTCTTCTTAGCGATTCTGAATGGAAAAAGTTTAAATAAGAAAGCTTTCCAGTTTTTGAAGCTGGAATGATCTTTGGAGCTCCAGTGACAGTGATACTGTATATTCAAACTATTGAGTATATTGTAAAGTTCTTGTTTTATTTGTGAGGATAGACTCATTCTCCATTCAACCTGCCACCCCCCAAAAAATTCTAAAATTATAAACACTGATTTAAATAAAATATTGTCCATATACATCCATATACATTGTATGATTCCAGGCTCTATGCTGTGTGGACAAAAAGGGAATTCTGTCATGGCCTAACCCTACAGCTGAAAAAGTGTTTTTCCTTCGAAGTGCCAAAGAACCCACGCCAAATGCTAGGTAAGATGAATATCATGTCAGCCTCTGTATTTATTGCATCCAAAATAAGTGTCCAAGTGGTTACTGTGTTGAAAGTGAATACTCACACATGGGTCGGCACGTATATATATTTATTGCATGTTAGGAGTGACTGTGGACTGTGTGATTTGTGTTACAGTGACAGTGGGGTGGAGGGAGGAGGGGTGGGTGGTGGAGGAGCAGACATGGAGAGTCATACCAATCTACTGCAACCAACCCCTACACACCACAAGCAACATAACAACGGTGAGTCAAAGAGTAAACTTGTATAAAGCAAGGGATAAACGATATCACTGTAGAAGGAGGGGTTGAATCTCATCTCGGCCAGGTCTTTAGTGACATTTATGGTGTACCTGAACTAATATTTTTTCTCAAAATATATCTTTGCGTTATTCTTCTATGCACCGAATTCCAATTCACTACAAAAAGCTGTCAAATATAAAATGTTTATGTGAAAAACAAAATTGCGGCTGTACTGGTGATTTTTGTGTTTTTTAAATTTTAACGAGATATTTTAATTTGTTGGTCCAGGAACTATACCTTAAAAGGTAAAGAATTCAGGGACACCCTGTATATTCACCTGTGTATAGGAAACCTTGGCGGGGGAGGCTTACCTGAAATGAATGCAATTTTACAGAATATATGGTTCTTTATGAATTTTACCTCAAATCAAACACTTTGATACCTTTTATACATTAAACATACTACCCTATACATTTTATCATCCTTAAGGTACAAATCATAAAATCCACCTTAAAATGACAATATATCTGATACACTCAACGCTACTATAGATAAAACATACTCCCTTAGTAGATTTGTCATCCTTATGGAACAGCTAAAAAAAATTGTATTGTTAGTTCTGTACGTCGTACTGTAGAAGTCGTGTTTGATTTAAAATTTGTTTCTTGTACAGTCATTTAAAACCTTGTTTAACCAAATAAAACAACCTAATCATAAACAATAACTGGTCTCCTTGTTATATTATAACCAAACAGTACCCACAAATCCTGAAAATAACCCTAAAACAATAGAAAAAAATGTTTGTCTACACTAGCGATCAGTGTCATCGTACATGAACTAGACACGAAAAACTAGCTTCAAAATTTACAATGGGATGAGAAGTCTACTTTGTTGCTTAGTCTATGACGCTACCAACATATTTTACAGACAGGCTTTATATTTTACAATAGCATGAGATGCTTACTTGTATTGGTATTACACATCTTATGTGTGTGTGACCCTCAGAGGCCCAGACAGTAGCCGAGGTTCTGGATCTCACTCATGACAATGCTTGTCCGTTCCGACTCCACTTTGACGACACGTCGTGGAACCGCCACCTCAAGTCACTGAAGCCACTCGGGTTGGCAATACTGCTCAACACGTGCAACATGGACACTCAGGACCACTACACGCAGTTCTGCTCTCACGTCACTTGTGAGGCGTTGTACAACGAGGATCTGGTGCCCGTCGCCAACCGCAGGTAAAGGCCTGTTATGTGGTCGGTTTGCTCTGGCTAGTCCCTTCGTCACATGTTAAGCAAATCTGCAAATGGTACAAGTTACCGTGTGGAAAAATATCTGCAGCCGCCTTGTCTGTGTCAATTCATTGAATTATGAGGCAAATTTGCAGAAACATTAGTTTGTTACTAAGCTGAATCTAGTTCTAATCCAAGTTAGCACTACTTTATCCATAGTTGAGCTTTCCCACATTATTTACACTGTACAACATTACATACTGGCATTAAGATGGCCGTATGTGAACCGAAGGCGATAGAAGAAATAAATTAACAGAAGACTTTTTAAGTGGAAAAAAACTTGGTCTAGAGACTTTAGAAAATCATTTCATCAATTTTTTTACAAATTATTTCTGAAATAAGAATTAATTTAGAAGGATAATTGGAGTAAAGCTTTTTCAGCAGATAAGATTCAAAAATATTCAATAATATGTAAGATGTAATGTAAAGTATTTGCTTTTTTGTTTCTCAGATTCAATACTGTAGTAATTTAACCCAACAAAAGAAACAGCTTAGGACAAATTTTATGCTAAAATATGTTTATTATAAAAAAACTATTTGATAAAAAAAATTATTGACACTAAAAATAAAGCCAGTTATTACTACATTTACTTGTGGTTTCAAGCTAGCATTCTATCTTTGCCTCTATGGCTTTCAATGTTCCGACGTTAGCGTTCTTTATTGTCTTGTCTAATTGTTTTTCTTTGCAACCAATCAGTGTAATAATCGTGTCATTCCTGTACTAAAACATCAATATACTAGAGTAGCTTTCTATGTGTCTTTTGTCATTGAATATCATACTATTGTTGTTGCTTAATGTGTTTTATTTTGTTTACTCAATCATCAGCCAATATTATTGTGGAATGAGAAAAATGAACAGGTTTGTATGTTTGAATATCTATATCTTAGGTTTTACTCTAATTAGGATTTAAAACTCAAATAGTCTGAAAATACAGTAGATTCTTGCTATGACACATTCTGATAAAGTCGTTAGTGCTAAGGAGGTAAATGTTGCCGATATTTTCTAGCTTTACAGAAAATTATTAAAATGTTACTGCAATAACAAAAGGTGAAAGTGAAATCATCATATAGTTGTGTATATTCAGTGGACTCCCTTTCAGTTGCATACTTAAAAACTAGACTCTTGTTCACAGCATCAGAAGTTGGTAAACAAATTGACATTTTTGCTATATTATTTGTGAAAAATTAAATAACTTAAGTATTAATTTACATGTTAAAGGAATATCTATCTTACGTTGAGAACAGTGGAAAAAGTGTAAGATATATCCAGGTGTATGAGTTATACCACCATAGACAAATATAATAAATATAGACTGTCAAAGTAAGGTTCCAGCGCCCACCGCTAGGAGTGCCGTGTATTTACGGCGCACACCAGTGCAGGTGAGGAGCGCAGGAGCCGTATGCGACCAGCAGACGCTGCAGCGGTGTGCGCCGTAACTACACAGCGAACCTAGCAGTGGACACCAGAACTTATGCTAACTGCAGCACAGCTGACGGTCTATATTTATTCTATTTGTCTATGGTTATACCTTTCTCAGATTTGTGCAGTGACCATATCTTCAATAGAAAACCAGCTGTTACAGGACCATATTTGAACAAAAACATATGTTGAAAACCACACAGCTTGGCTAGATCACAGTGCTTGTCTTAATGTTTTTGAGAAACTCAAACTGGCGTTTGAGAGTAAAAATGTCATTCAATTTCAAACATTTATGGACAACTTTAACTATAATGTTAACACCTTGAACGTTTAAGTCAGCATATTAATTAGGAGAGGAATTTTTGATAAACATTTTACACATGCGACCACTCAAAACACCCAAAATTGAAACCAAACAGATCCAAACGAGACGGAGTCTACTCTATTAATTTTGAATTCCACTCAAATGGTTTTACCTCGTATTACTTTTAACTAAGGTATTCACAAAGTGATAACTACACGTATGGTTTACTTATTCCTAATGTGTCATTATCTAGAATCTACTGTACTTACAGATTTCATGTAGCATGTTTTACCCTTCCACAACGTTGTGTTAGTTATTTTTCCACTTGTCTTACAGGAGCCCATGCTGCGCTAGGGAGATGTCAACTTTAATGTCCACCAACAAGTAACTATACCTCCGTCAGTTCAAATGTATACTTTACACTGTAAAGAAATAGTTGTGAAACTCTCAGTCGCAACCTGAATAAAGATATTCTTTTAGAATCAACTATCAAAACTATCCGTCTTCTTCACAAACAAATACACCTTTTGTCAACTGGATGGTGCTGATGTTCTTAGATGACAATTTTTATAGGCCCAAACTCGCTTTATAACATTTACTTTAACCGAATGTTACAAAGTACAGTTTTAGCGAAATTCCCAGTTGTAAATTGTAGCTAATATGCCCTAGTGTGAAAAAATCTTGATTCAGGTTCAAAACTAATGTATATAAATATAAAGCAAAAAAAAAAAACATTTAGTTCACAACTGTTGTAACATTTTTTTTGTCAAAAAGTTCAATTTAATTGACTCCTAATTGCCATTAAATATTTATTCCAACTGTTTATTACAATAGAACGCCTAGCTCAAACCCTTAGAAAATCTCTCAAGGAACAACAAACAAATCATAAACAATTATGCTTAGTACTGGGGGAGCGAGCCTTGCTCGGTTGTGGTTAATTGGGTTTAATTGTTATAACAATATCATAAACGGAAATATTTTATAATTTACAAATAACATTTTCATTACAAACCATAGACATTTGATCGCTGAAATAACAAACAACTCTGTAAATAATCAAACTAGCTGGACCCTCTGAGAGTTTCACAAATTTTCCTTTATTTTCCAGCACTTGGGTCGCTGTTCTGGGGCAATGGAGAATTCTTCTCTGCAATTTTCCGATTTTCCAATTTTTGGGCTGCTTACACAGTATAACCTCTAAAGCAAGTTGAAGGCTATGAAAAATCAATTTTTTGTGAGCACATTCTGGGGCTAAAAGGGATAGAAGTAATTCTTTAAAAATTCACATTTTTAGAGTTTTTCCTTTAAACTATTGATTTCTGAAATATTTCTTTTGTAGTAAATAATTTAAGGGGGAAAATTGAAATTTTTTAATTATTGACAAAATATTGCTTTTGAGGTTTACTGTTGTAGTTTCCCTTTCCTTTGTACATTTTGCTGTTTGCTAATACAACTGAATATTGCACTTGTAAATAAAACTAGTATTAGTAATTGGAAATTTGAAAACCAAGGAGGAATGGTTTTGTGTATTTTGTCTGTTAGTGGTAATAATGTGGTATCTGTGTTAAAATTTAGTGTAGATAAAAACTAGTAGTAAAAATATTATGATAAACGGGTGCATGGTCAGTTCAGTAAATTAGTTTGTAAATTTGTAACTAACACTAATAGTAGAACCGCTATAGTAAAATATAAATTATACTAACGATGTTACATTTGGAACCCTCTGTTAAATCCTTTAAAAATCCATGAAATCTCAGTAATTTGAATTTTTATCCAATTTAAATCTTTCCAAACCTTATTAACTTCATTAGATGAAAACTTCGATATGAAATTAAAATATGGCTGTGCAGTAAAATATTTTGCCTCATAGAGGCGAATTTAATCCTTTTACACTAAATGTAAACAGACTATATTTTTTATTAAAACGTTTAATCCTTTGTTGAAGAGTACTCATAAAGTATGTTACACTTTTTGTGTAAAAGTTTTGTTGTTTTTCTTATTAAGCTCATATAAATTCATAAATTATTTTATTTTTATCCATAGAAAATTAAAATTGCAAGTAGGTAACTGACCTAGTAAGGTACAAATAGATACCACTTTTTAAAATGTTTAACAAGTTATTTATTAAATATGTTATGGCGTAGAATTACATACATATTAAATAATAAAATTCATAATTTGAAATCACTATAAAAAATGTGCCACTGTGTAATACATTATTTATTCTTATACACCAAATTCTTAACCATTCCAAGCCGAAATGCAATACAGTTTATACTTCTATCCTGAGTCAGATGTATAAATAGTACATTGTTTTCATGTCTTTAATGGAACAGTCTTTCAAAAAGGTATGTTTTAGTGCATGATTGTATTTTGCTTATTATTTAATTAGCCCTGTGATATTTTGATGTCTATTTCATTTTATGGTTGAACTTCATGACAAAATATGTAATTTTACAAATCATTTTGCAGGTTATAAAAGTATTATAAACACAAAAATATTACCATAGCAAATATTGTTTTTGTTTCGTACAAAATATCAGTAATACTAATAAATATGACATCGTATCAATATCAAGTGATTAATTAATTCAATACAGAACATTTCATAATTTTCAGAAAATATAATCCACCAACCCCTGGTATCTTAAAAATCTAAAAATTGTTGAGACTTGTGTTACAAACCAAAAATATTGAAATAATTTTAATGTCCTTTTGGGTATGCATCAAAAAAACCTTTTGGGTATGCTTTTGGGTAGTTCTAACAAGATTTAGTTGAATTTTAAACAAACGTTACCGTCCCTGTTGCAGCAAACCAAAGAACTCGTTAAACATTATGCTCTTTAAATAGGGAATAAATCTGGCATTTTTAAGGAAACATTTGAGTGAAAATCCAATCAGGCAAATGAAAACTTGATTAGTATGCACTGCAGGTTTGCTACGGCAGAGTATTTTATGTTCAACATTTTCCTTGCTGTCCAACTTATAAACTACTAGAGTATCACTTTTGCCTTATATTAACAAATAACCATACAAGAGTACTGAGAACGACAAAATATTCTGCCCTACTCTACAAACACAATATACACTAGTAGTTTGTAAAAGAAGTAATTATTTTCTAGTTCTCCGTTAAGGAGGAAAGACTCGTCAGCAGTGCACTGGGATATGAGGCATATGAAAGTGCATCATTTCTTGAGGAGGTAGTGACGGTTTGCTGCGTTTGGTAGAGATTTGGGAACGATAACATTGACGGAAGCCAAGCAAGATATCTTCCGGCTTGATCACTCATAACAAGCTAAATTCAAGACGTTGCAGTTTTCCCATCTTAACTTTTCACGTTTTCAGTAAACTAGAAACAAGAGTTGAGACGAGCTTTTTCATTCATATAACTTTTCAGCAGTTTTGTAAGCTAAATTTGAGACGAACCAGCTTTTCACCCATATCACAGCTATTAAAAGCAGTGTTAGGCTATTGAGGTTTGAGATTAATTACTTTTCCCATTTTTCATAGACAATTTTCTTAGCTATGTTTGCCACATTTATTCACTTTTGTTGCAAAATTGTCAGCGATTTTTCACTGTTTTATATTGTTAGCTGTACATTTTGATTAGACTTGTAGAACTTCATTAATGGCATATTTGCTTGGGATATTGGTTTGCATGTTCTATTTATTTTTATTACTATTTGTTCATGCATCATATTCTGTGTTAAGTTTTAGATTTTTCATGATCATCAAAGCTAAAATTGTCTAATACCCAATAAGTTGTTTTAAGGTACTTTATAAATACATAATGTTTTATTCACAAACTTTTTGAATTTACTAAAGGCTCAAGAGAAGCAATTTAAAACATTTATTTGTGTTTTTAGCCTCAGAATTTCAAACATTGTTGAACGCTCATGTCTAGATTGTTTAGTATTTAAATGTAAAAATGCTAAAAAATAAAAAAAGGCCTATTAGCTTTTGTTTTTTCTAGGGATGGTCAAGTCTCGAAATTTCGGGAAATTTTCGGGAAATTTAAAATCTCGTTACACGAGACGAGATTTCTTTTTGGCCGAGATTTTTATCGAGACGAGAATAAAAAAAAAAAAAAAAAAAAATTAAAAACGCCTGCAGAAAGTCAATGCAATACGCAATACAGGAGCGTGTTGTAGTTGAGTTTCCTTTGCGAAGGCGTTCTTATTTAATTAATTCTTTAAATGTAAATATTACTTTAATTATTTTAATAATATTACTTTAATAACATTTGAGAAGTTTTGTTAAGTGTAAGCAGTGTGAGGAATGTTTTATTACTATAAAAAGTCAAAACAAGTAACTATTTTATAAAAATTAATATTGCTTTTATTTTATGATTTATTTTATTTTAGGATAAGTTGAACTCTATCCTAACTGATATCACTATGTTTCCTAATCGTAGGCATTTTTAATAAGTTAGGCGTGATTAATAAAAAAATGTTATGCTGATGTTTTTTTAATAAAAGATTGTAAATATTCTTGCCTATTATCATTATTTTTGTATTTAAACAGTCATCTAACAATGTTACAAAATCAGGTAAAAATTTTGAACGTTCATTTCCCGTTGTGTATGAGAAGGGAAATCCCGTCTCGATCTCGTCTCGAAATTTTATGAGAAATAAAAAATCTCGTCTCGTCTCGTCTCGAACTAAAAATCTATCCCTAGGGATCGTCCATCCCTAGTTTTTTCTTATTTTTTAGATAGTATTTTGTTTCCATAAATTCAAATCTGTAGAAGTTTTTTTCTTTTTTCTCATAATTCTAAATGTTAGGTCCACTAAAATTCACTGCATTTGGGCGTGTACGTGCCAGTTAAATACTATTTCCAATATTCATAAAAATAGCCTTGTTTTATTTTTTCAAAACATGAAAGCCTTCCCTAAGTTAGTAAAGCCAATAATTTGCAAGGACCAAATCAGCGAGTTTCTCAGATAATTTGGTGTGGTCTGATGTAAACGTTTAGAGTGGTTGTCTGTAGATGTCTCTGTGAGTTAGCCAAGCAGATTGGTTTCACCGATGGAGCTCCGAAGATATTTACCTTGGATCAACAACTGTCTACGTTTCGACATGTGGTGAGTTGAGAATATCAGAAACAACGCAGAGATGTTGGATAGGTTATGTTGTTGGAAATGGTTTGGGTATGAATGTTAAAGTGCTATGTTGGAGAATTGACTTGAAGTATAGTAGTAAAAATTGCTTCTCTGTGTCATTAAGAAGTTTTTTTTTTTTGTAATGAGGGTTGAGCTAGCTTATTGAAAAAATAGAGTCAAGTTACAGGTACATAAAACTGTTATTTAATCCTTTATGTTATTTAACATAAAACTGTTTGTATTTAAACTGTTTGTCCTTAGAGAGTAGATTGAAGAGAAAATTTTATAGAAAGCTGTTTAGGCTGGTAAATTATTAAAGAGGAATTCAAAGATTTTTTTTAGTTTACAGGACTCTGATTAAAATCTTATGAATTTGAGAGTTCAATCTTGCGAAAAGTCTAATACTTTTTTAAAATTAAGAACTAGATTTAGCTGTCGTTAATCATCTAGCTTTAAATAAATCCTCTTAGCTAAAAACAGATGGTACTAGACAGTAACAAAGCTACACAAAGAATCTCAATCTATTCTACATTCATATTTCACTTGTACTTGTTTCAAAATATGCCCACTTTCGACCCCATCTCAATTTGTCATGTAATGAAATTTAATTCTCAAAGCCTCTAAAACACGACCTCCTTGGTCTAAATGATGCCAAGCATTGGTCGCCTAAAATTTTGATCTGTAAATTGTGTAAAAATGTTTGTATTTAGTTAAAAACATAGGTATAAGTATGCAAATGTAAATTTTGGATTTCGTAAGGAAGGAAAAAAGGTTTATGTAAACAAAATAAGTGTATATCTGAACTTGACTTTTCTAGTACACACTTAATATTATTTTGTAGGGTGCTAATTATATTATATTAGCTAATATAATCCGACTTTTGTTGAACTTGGTATGGTTAGTGTATGTCATCCCTTTACATACTCTGAAATGCCTTTCTATTGTTACAGCAACCAGAAACAGTCCGACGAGACATCAAGTTTGCCCGAACGCTCGCTCTTGCGACCAAACTCAAGTTTCCGTTCCCGCACATGGTCGCTGTTGTTGTCAAGGTATTTGAATGGATATTTGGATAAATAATAAAACATCTGAACTATTTAAATTTATAGGATTGACATTGACATGTGTACACATTTTAATCATCGATAACAATGTAAAACTACCAAGGAAAAACAATTTCTAAAAATTACAAATCAGTACACACCTATGTGAATATTTTGGTCAACAAGTACCTGTATTTAATATAACTTGTGTTGTACTATCTAGTTGCTAGTATGATTGAATCATTGCTAATACCTTCAATAACATTAATATAACTGTCTTAATGACCATACATAATGGCCTAAATCAGGTTAAATTTACTAAGAACTAATAAATGTTATATTTTCTTAGGACAAGTCCAACCACAATAGTCTTCAGCTGTTTTCCCAAGGCACAGCTGACATTGTGTTAGATGCCTGTGTGGACTTCTACGACGGAAAAGAGCTTCACACGTTGTCATCAGCTGACAGGTTTGTTTTGTCGTAGAATTTAATGATGTAGGCCTACGTATTTTTAGCGGAAAATCCCTTAGACATTTCTTTAAAACCAGTGCAGAGGAGGTATACGGTGATTCTGTTTGAAAAAGGTTTCTCCTTAGTCTCACATCAGTTAACTTCAACTTTGTACCACCTCTTCAAGATGAGAGGTCTGTGTCATGGGTATAGTTTTTTTTTATCTTTTTAGTTTTTAGTTCATTGCATTTAATTTATTTCTACTCACAAGTAGAAGAAAATGTTTCATACCGGTACTCATAGTTGAACCAGAGAGTGCATTTTGTTTTGAAGGCTTTATGCACTTAATTTTCTTTTAAATCTAGAAATAATATTACTATGCTGCAATAGAAGTAAGCTTGTAGTTTAACATTTTAATTTTACAGACTCATTTACAGACCATTGCTCTGTTTACAGGGATAACTATTGTATTCTGAAGTGTGTTTTATTATATTTTAGGAAGAAAGTTCAGGACTTTTACCAGCGTACAAGTCTGACTGCGTATTGCACTGCGTTTGCCTACAGACCTTTACCAGAGGTATGATTGATTTCTTACTTGTGTGTTCTCCCTTATCCTCCATTTGCTATGTAGTTATTTCTGTTTCAGGATTAAGTTTCCTTCTTTTATGGTGCTTCACAATTTATTTTGTAGTCTTTTGACTCCTTTTCTCAACAATTATCAGTGTCAATGTGTGTTTGAAGTGTTGCTAGACATATTTCTATTTACTTTCCAAAACTAACCCCCTAGCCCCTCCTTACTTTTTACGTGATCTAAGTATTCTAATCTTGCCATTGTAATTTTTTCCTATGTTTGTCTGTCACATACAGATGTGAAAGTTGTCTTATCCTTGTTTGTGATTTGAATTTTTAATTTAGTCATCTGACAGTAAATTCATTGATAAATCTTATGTTACCTTTTTAATATTTAGTTGGAATTTTACCAGTTAAATGTAATTAATTTTTTTTTTTTTTTTTACCGTAGGTCTCATGGTAAGACCTAAGCCCGGGACCGATTTACTTTTTCATTTTGATGTCCCCAGAGGCCAAAAACACCATTCGTTCAAATTTTTATATATATATATATATATATATATATATATATATATATATATATATATATATTAAAATTAAAACATATATAACAAAGTACCCTTTTAGTAATTATTTTATTTTTCATGACGACATGTTTCGGAACTAAGTCCATTGTCAAGTCATTTTTACCATAACCTACCATAATTAAGAGGTTATGGTAAAAATGACTTGACAATGGACTTAGTTCCGAAACATGTCGTCATGAAAAATAAAATAATTACTAAAAGGGTACTTTGTTATATATGTTTTAATTTTATTATATTAGTAGCCCTAAAAATGCAAGAAAATAATATATATATATATATATATATATATATATATATATATATATATATGTGTGTCCATCCGCACGATAACTTGAGTAATATTTGTCCGATTTTGATAAAATTTGGTTTGAAGGTGTAAGGCGGGATAAACTTGAATGAGTTCGCGAACCAGCATGGTCGGACTATGAGAACGGGGGTTTATGGGGGGTTTTATGGGGTAAAAATAGGTTTTTCCCATTTTTGACCCTAAAAACACAAAATTTCACAATTTCTTTTTAAACCATTTTGTTGAGCTTAAAAAAACAAATAATTTAGTATATTGAAGCGTTATTATGCGCCTAATTGTTACGGAGAAAATTAAAAAAAATTGTAATTTTAAAATTCCCATGTTATTCTTATGGAGAATAAGTCAACTGTTGTAGTTTGCTTGTTTATGAACATATTTTGATTGATTTTGGAAAATACTTTTATTTCTTACTAAACTATTATCATTTTATAAAAAAAATCTTTTTTACCCTCCCTGTTGCAGCAAACCTAAGTACTCGTTAAACTAATTCTATTTAAATAGGAAATAAATGTGCTATTTTTATGAAGGCATTTTAGTGTAAATCCAATCAGGTTAATGGAAATTCGCTTAGTCTGCAGGTTTGCTGCGGCGGGGGTATTTTTTAAATAAAAGAGGTTGGCGGCCTCTTTTAACCTTGCATTTGCCCGTCCACATAGACTAAGCGCCCGTGCGTGGATCGTTTACAGCAAAGCAAGGAGTGAGCTGGTACAGTACAAAGGTGAACTGTACTGATAAAATGTTATCGGCAGTGACCAGGATCCGAACCCACGACATCGCTGCCTTGGGCCCGAAGTCCGCGACGCTACCGACTGAGCCACCGACTCACTAATTGTGTTATTGAGCGAATTTTTCAGAAATTTTTAATCTCAATCGGAAAAAAAGTGTTTACTACATTTTGGGATCTGGAATCTAATTCTTTTCTCAGGAAAAAGTACCTAAAACATTACAAAGTTAAAACATTAAACAAACCAAAATAAAGCTAGAAAATAAAACAAGAAAAAACACAGAGAAAACTGTATAGTGTAGTCAAAATTAGAAACAAAAAATTTTTGAAAGAAAACAACATTTAATACAAACTAGAGGACCCATGCTGATCCGAAGCGTTGAAATAAATATCATATCCGATAAATTATCAAATTTATAAATTTTGATTGAGTAATACAGTATCTTGAACTTAACTGATTCAAACAATCAATAGCTCAAATTAAAGCCTATAATTTACTGATTATTTTGAGTAAAAAAAAAATGCAAACAATACTGGAGCTATAGATGTTTAATAATAGAAAAACGTTATGAAAAATAATTTCATGTTAACAATAAAAGGTTTAAATTACCTGTATCCGTCAAGTGATCCTGGTTTGTAGTTGATTGACTACAGCCGTTTCATGTTGTAAAAACACATCTTCAGGTCAAACGTATATACATTGATTTAATCCATGGAATGGTCGTCAAGGTTTAAAGTTCACAAAAATAACACATACACGTATACGAAAACATTATACATAAATTGGCCAACACAAAAATACGAAAAACGCGTGATAGGCATCGGACACGTACGGCGCCGCTAGAAGGTAGGTCATGACTGTCGTGTGCCGGAAGTGATAGCCCCCCACTATCAGCTGTTATCTATTGTGGTCTAAGATGCGTATGGCGGCATTGTAAACAATGTTCGACTCGAATGAGAGTTTTTCATTTAAGATGTTATCAGGCTGTTTTTTTGAAGCACGATAAATTTCAAATTCTTCTAATGTGTCCATGTATTTTCCTTTGTTACATAAATAGATTAGTATATAGTATGTGATTTTTTAAGCCTGATATTTTGAACTCTTTGTACTAGATCAACTGTATTTTTGATGCTGTGATTATTTTCAAGGACTATTTCATTTCTAATGATTTTTTCTAATTTCTTAGCGATGTTGTAGGCGGGGGTCACATACTATTGCATCGTTTGACATAGTGAATTTATACACTAATGTACCTGTTGATGAAACAATAAATATTCTAAGAAATAATTTAGAGAAGCATTCTAAATTACAGAAAGAAGCCAAAAATGAATTAATGAATCTAGTCAGCTGTGTATTAAAACAAAACTATTTTATGTTCGAGAATAGTTATTACATTCAAAATAAAGGTTTGGCAATGGGCTCCCCCCTTTCCAGCATCATGTCTGAGATATTTTTGAACCATTTCGAAAATCAGCACCTATGGTCAGATAATAACCGGCATAAAAACAAGTTGTCATTTTACTGCCGATATGTCGATGACACTTTGATCTTGTTTGATGGCAACGAGAGACAGTTAAAACTATTTGGAACATTCTTAAACAATATCCATCCCAACATAAGCTTCACTCTAGAAACCGAAAACAACAACTCAATAAATTTCTTGGACGTCACTATTACAAAGAACGAAAATAGTTTGCAATTTAAGATATACCGGAAACCGACCACGACTGATCAGACAATACACGCATCTTCACACCATCCATACAGCCACAAGATTGCCGCTTATAATAGTTTTGTCCACCGCCTATTGTCCATTCCCCTCAACAATACTGATTACAAGAATGAGGTTTGCATATTAAAGTACATTGCTGTATCCAACGGTTACAAACCTTCCTTAATTGACAAACTCATTAAAAAACACTCCAACACAACCAGACCGAGTTTGGATGGGGAAAATAATAAAAAATACGTCAGTGCCGAGTATGGCGTTGTTCTTAATAACACCTTAAGAAGCGAGATGACAAAAAGTAACATCGTTGTAGCATTCAAGACGTCAAATAGACTTGACTCGATGCTAAAATCAAGATACCAACGAGAAGGGGCAGACAACAAGTTCAATAAAACCGGAGTCTACAAATTGTCTTGCAACGACTGCCCGAGCTTCTACATAGGCCAGACGTCACGATCATTTACCACCCGATTCAAAGAACACCTGCCTAAAATTTCCTCTAAGTCGGCATTTTCCAACCATTTGATTAACTCCAACCACAACTATACAGATATAAACAATAATCTCAACGTTCTCCATTTATGTAACAAAGGAAAATACATGGACACATTAGAAGAATTTGAAATTTATCGTGCTTCAAAAAAACAGCCTGATAACATCTTAAATGAAAAACTCTCATTCGAGTCGAACATTGTTTACAATGCCGCCATACGCATCTTAGACCACAATAGATAACAGCTGATAGTGGGGGGCTATCACTTCCGGCACACGACAGTCATGACCTACCTTCTAGCGGCGCCGTACGTGTCCGATGCCTATCACGCGTTTTTCGTATTTTTGTGTTGGCCAATTTATGTATAATGTTTTCGTATACGTGTATGTGTTATTTTTGTGAACTTTAAACCTTGACGACCATTCCATGGATTAAATCAATGTATATACGTTTGACCTGAAGATGTGTTTTTACAACATGAAACGGCTGTAGTCAATCAACTACAAACCAGGATCACTTGACGGATACAGGTAATTTAAACCTTTTATTGTTAAAATCAGTGATCCAGAGGCTATACCATAAAAATGAAATTTCATGTTGGTTTGTCACCTTGCGTTTGCTTGAAACTCGTCCAATTTGAATAACTAATACCTTAAATAAAAGCTAAATATTTCACTGAATTTATGTGTTTTGGTTGAGTGTATAGTAGATAAGTATATACCGATGCTTGATGTGAAATCTCTGCGTGCATACCTTTAATTTGAGACCTCAATCATGAAAATCGGTCAGGTAGAAGAGCCAAACAAACTCGGAGAAGAAAAACCAAATTTTTTTAATACAGAAGATAGAGGTTAGGTTAACACAATGGAAACTTCTTCACAAAATGGCGACTCAAGATAGACTGAAGTCACATGTCAGTGCTACAAATGGTGAAACAATGGGAACGGGAAACTGTAATGGCGTTCCTTAGATAACATAATCCCACCATCACAATGAGAAGGTGAACCTGAAGTGAGATGTAACTGTGTGGTGTAGGTTGCGTCTGTGAGTGAGCAGTTGACCAGGGTATATCTGGAGTTGCCAGCTGATGCTCAACACCTGTATATGCCTCACAGATCTCCCTCTCCCTCGGCCGCCCTGGGCCAGGGACTGCTGGACCACTCGCTGTCTGCTGGTAAGACATTGTTGAACAGATAATTAAATTATAATATACTGTATCTGCTATGCCTATTGATTGAAGTATACATCCCATTCCCGTTGAATTTGTATTCAGTCTTATGATAAGAATGGACGTAGTTGAGTTGATCCACTGAGTGAACTAATATCAATTACCGATATTGTCGAACAACGTAAACTTTTGTCTAAGACGAATTCAAAAGATAACTTTTTGTAAACTATGGTATACCATATATCATAAAATAGCAGTGTTTTGTAATTTTAGGCGGAAATGTACCAAAAAGTAAATGAAGGGTACTTTGGTATTATACCAACCACAACTAAATTGGGTTAGGTTACCACACCTAGGTTAGGTTACGATAAGATAACCGGAAGATAACCTAATCTAACCTATTCTAACCTAACCTAAGGGTAACCAATTTAGGTGTGGTCGATATAGTATCAAAGTACCAAAAGAAAAAAAAAATCAATCTTTATACACAATAGTGGTTCATTAAACAATTTGTATTTGAATAAACCATTTTCTACAGCTAGTTTATATAGATTAGATGGTGCACATACTTCAGTATCCAATAGTCAATTCTCTGAACAGCATAAACTGTTTTAATTATTTTAATATATCAGCAGAAACGCCTGTCCAAAGGATTTTCAGCGGTTGGTTGACCTGTGCATTGTATAGGTTGTATGTTTTGATAGAGGCAGATTCTATCTGTGCACCTGTTTGTTTCTACTGCACTGACTGGATGGAAATCGTGCTCTGTAGATCTTTGGGCTATGTCTAATGTTTCAAGGTATGGGTTTTCAAATTAAGTATTAATTGGTCTGCAAGGCAACTAAAAAAGCAACGTTTTCATTTACATTTTTGATGTACCAATAAAATGATTGGATTTATTCAACCATAAAATAAAATGTAATAGAATTTTTTTATATGTGCCGTAAGATTGAGTTTTTTTCATAATCAATGAGTAGGTCTGAGTGCTTAATCCATCTACAATACAATATAATCTACAATTGGTTTCAAGACACACAATACTCTGTTCAGCTTTGTCATTTATTTGCAAAGCATGAGTGAAGTAGGTAGTAAACAACAATGCAATGGCTATACTTTACCAACACCTGATGTACGTATGTTTCTGTAGATTCGCTCCTGGCGAGTGACTCGTACGAAGAACATATCACAGACATAAACAATTGCTTCAAGATCCAATGTAACCAGATATTCATCGGGATGGTGACCATGCAGTACCAGGCCTTATCCGAGATGGTAAGTGTAAACTTTGTCTTTGGGCTTTGGATAACAAACATAACGTATTATGCTAATTAGAGGTTGGACAATATAAATAAGTCCAAACAGTTGTCCCAATTGTATCAAGTTGTCGATAAAATAGAAAAAAGTTAAATCAAACTATCAAACTCAACCATCAACTACAGTGTTAGCAAAACGGGAGTGCCGATGGAGACCAGGTCAAGTCCCTTCTAACGCATGCACCCCCACAGGTCTCCATCAGCACTCCCGTTTTGCTAACACTCCAACTCATATGTCCAACTCTGGTTTTAAATATTGAATTTTAGTTATTCAACCCATTGATGACGGAACTTTTAAAAATGCCTCAATTAATTTTATGTTTTAGGTTATCATGTGGCAATGTCAACACGTTTTGCCTGTTTTTTTTATCTAAAGTAAAAGCAAAAAAAGAAAAATCTTTGTTGAATTTTGTTTCTATAACGGTTGGCGGATGTGTAACTATTTTATGCAACAGAAGCAAACAACAAATTCACTTTCAAATGCTCTTCCCGTTGCAAAGCAAGGGTACAGCAGCTTGTTGACCATAATAATCATCTTTCTCGTCATCACTCTTATCCTACATAAATGTTTATCACAGATAGGTTTTTGAATTTTCCTATTAATCTTAGACAACAGTCTTTCATTCACAGCCTCAAATCAAATTAGAGTATCTACAATATTTTTATTGATGGTAAATCCCACTCCTGCTTGATGTATACCATCATCTCTACCCCTGTATAACGTGAAATTTCCACAGAAAATGGTTCCATTGGCCATCTAATTTCCTGCAGGGCTACCACATCCATTGTAAACTTTTTCAGTTCCCTGCTAACGATGTCCAAAGCACCTGGCACCCCCAGAGAGTGAACATTCCAGCTTCAAATCTCAAGTCCTTACGACACAGCTTAGGTGTTGTCCATTGTGATCAATCTTGTCTGAGGTATTCCGTAGGCGATACATAACCAGGGTTGTTTTACAAGGGAGGGTGGTTAGCCCATCGCCTCAACCCCCAATATGAATGGAGGACCTACTTCTGGTCAGCGGGTCCATCGGACCTAGCCGGAAGATCTGACAAGCAGATCCACCGACCTTCCCCCTATCCGCCACCCAGGGGACGCTCCGTATACGCTGAAGTAGGAAAGCGCACGGATACTTTATTACCAGATACATAAAATACTAACACTAGGTACAAAAGTTACTTAATACTAAGACTAAGATACATGGAATACTTAACACTAAAAAGTTGATTGAAGGCTTCTGTTGTCTAATCCTCTTCAGGACTTGTCTTCAATCAGCTAACATTGTAACATTGCAGAACTCTTCAGTTTTTTTCCTCTTGAAGTTTCTCCTCAGAAATGCAATATCCTCTTCCATGATTGCACTAATCTCCTACATTCCATCATGTTTCTCAAACATTTTGCCATGGCATATCTTTGGCGCTTTACTATAAACAATCCTTTTTCCAACTATGTGGATCCTTTTTTGTTTTACTGAAGCAATACAACATCAGGTCTCCGTGTTCTATAACCTCCCATTTTCCCCAGGAGCTGCTACCTGGTTACTTACTATATTGATCCTCTGCCAGTTCTTCTCTGGAATGGAACAAAAAACTTAACTTTCTTCAACTGTATTCTTCCTCAAAATAGTTTTTACAGGAGGAAAGATTTCATCTTGCATTAATTTACTGTGTTAGTGAACAAATTAAATAAATAGTTTCTATGGAAACATACATTTACTGTCAGTATGCCATTGTCCAAGCTATTTAGACCTGTTATAATGGATGGATTGAGACTTTACATATTATATATAAATAATACCCCCGCCGCAGCAAACCTGCAGACTAAGCGAATTTCCATTTGCCTGATTGGATTTACACTAAAATGTCTCCTTAAAAATATCAAATTTATTCCCTATTTAAATAGAATCAGTTTAACACATACTTAGGTTTGCTGCAACAGGGAGGGTAAAAGTGTTTTTTTATGTAAAATGTTAATAGTTAGTAAGAAATTAAAACATTTTCCAAATTTGGGCGAAATATGTTAATAAACAAGCAAACTAGAACAGTTTACTTATTCTCCATAAGAATAATATGGGAATTTTAAATTAACAATTTCTCCGTAACTATTAGGCGCATTATAACGCTTCAATATACTAAATTATTTGTTTTTTTAAGCTCTACAAAATAGTTTGGAAAGAAATTACAAAATTTTATGTTTTTTGGGTCAAAAATTGGAAAAACCCATTTTTACCCCATAAAAGCCCCCATAAACCCCCGTTCCCATGGTCCGATCATGCTGGTTCGCGAACTCGTTCGAATAAACGTAGGTTTACACGTTTGTACCAAATTTCATCAAAATCGGATCATTTTTGCTCGAGTTATCGCGCTAACGGACACATATATATATATGAATTTGAACGGATGGTGTTTTTGGCCTCTAGGGACCTCAAAACGAAAAAAAAAATCGGTCCCGTGTCCAGGTCTTACCATGAGTACTACGGTAATAGCTTATTCCCTATATGGGAAATTCGCTAAAGTTAGTTTTGTCTGTACATTGCTCAGAATTATATATATTTTTACATTCTATACATTAAAGAAGCTGGAACAATTCTTATCTAAATTTCTGTCTTTGTGTCTGTCACGGCAGAGAAGGCATTTTACGCGGCTTTCTCCTGAAAAACGAGATAATCGATTGGGATTTGTAATATTACATGTCATTCATTCATCATTAACATTAATTTCTCTTTTATTTTGTATATTTTCTCTCATAATGTCTGTTAATGCCCCTGATAATGTGTTATCAGTTATTTAATATGTTCCTCCTTGTTAATATGTTATTTTATCCAATTTTGTTCAATGTTATATAATATCCCATCACCCCACAGAAACATCATCCTATTTTATGTTACAATATAATATTTATGCAAATTCTCTCCATACCTATCCTGTACTCATCAAAAACCAACAATAATCATTTATTTAGAATAATATATAATTGTAAGAAAATTGCAATATAGTAATAACATCTTAAATATAGTATTATTTTTCAAAATTATCCAAAGAAAATCATAATTACTTTGGTTAGTGTCATTCATGTAAATTAACCAGCTGTACATCACTTCAACAATGGACATGGACTTCCTGAGCTTCTACCATTGCCTCTCCCCAGATCCTGCCAACTCTTCACAGTGTGAACATCATTCTATTGGAAATTGTGTTTAATTTAAACTAAAATTCATAATCCCAAAGTAAAACCTAAAATTTAAATTTCTCATCATCCAAAAGTATTGGACAAGTGCATTGAAGAGTACCAATTTATAAGAAGACAGACACTCCAAATTTGGTAACCATCATCCATCTTATTTAACTAAGGACAAATTTAATCTTCATTGGACATTTAAATCAGCATAGCCTACTAGGCCCAATTAACCTAACTCATCAAGATATATACATATTTCAAATTGAACTTTTATTCAAAATTTAATCTTCAAATTCTATTTTATTTCATTAAATTCAGTGAAACCATTTGGAACCTTTCTTTGGACATTTAACATTATTATATTAATAGCATCACGAACCTAGTATTTCAGAATAATAACTAAATCAAATTATCTACATTTTAAAGAAGCCTAATATATCATTCGAACCGGCACGACCACCCCTCCCTGAATTAAGAGCTCATAGCCTATTTAAATATTAATTAGTACTTTAGAAGAAACCAACCCAATAAGCCTAGAATCTTATCATCCACTTTGGAACCCCCACCATTTTGAAAATTTACCATTGTTAACTTATCCTGTAGCTAATTCAACCAATAACTTATCTTGTATTTCATTAATAAATTTTATATTGTAACTTACCAAATCTATTTATTCTTAGAATAATTCATAATTATAAGATTAAGACAAAGACTTACCTCATTAGACAGAAATAAAACATAAATTAGGAATTATCTTTATTAGGAAAGAAATGACTTTGGGTTCAATGTGGGCTAACTTATTAGCCAAAGGAATTTTGTAGGCCTAAGTTAATGAAAAGTCTATAGAAAGCTTTATGGTGCGTAGCAGATTTAAGTTATTTACCAGTATTAAAAACATTTTTGACAATGCCTACATTTTAAAAACTAAATTAACCCTGGAGCTGACTGTTAGATTTCCTAAAAATACCAGAGTATTTTGCTGCATTTTTCATAGTTATAAAAAAATAAAAATATTGAACATATAGTAGTTTTATTAATTTTGCCATGGTAATACTGAAAGTTATCAAAGGATTTTCCACGCTCAGGTTCAACTTATTGATCAGCTGGAACGTGCCTGTATCAGGTTTGTTCACTTCAGCAAGGAGAACGAACTTCGTTCCAGAGTGTTCTCTGAGAAGATGGGCCTAGAGAGCGGATGGAACTGTCACATATCACTGTTAAGCGAGAGATCGAGGTAAGTCGGGACAAACTTAGACAACATAACCTCGGCTAATCTGGTTAACAAGGTTTGATATGACAGGAATCTGAAGAGGAATGACTTTACTGTCCTGTTTTTTGGTGTCCAATTTTTGTTGGAATTTTTTTACTGTTTTGAAAACGCTCCAAGTATTAATTAACGCTTTTCACCATTTTAATCTATTTCCTCTTTGTAAACTAGAATGAAACCTAAAAAATGTGACATATTTTTGAAATCCCATCAGGTAATGATCATCTTCGTCCTCCAATATTTTGATAAAAATACCTCTACCTTTGAAAAAATCTGGAATCATGTTTGACATCAAGCTACCATTACCCTACAAAAGTCTAAAATCAAGAAGTTTCACATTGAATGAAGATTTTTAACTTTAAACCGACTTTCACCAGGTTTAAAAAGTGAATTTAATTTTGTACTATAGCTGTAGGATAAATAATTAACTAACATAGAAATGTGGAACTCAATATCTTATATGCTTACTAGGCATAAGCCTAGGCCTACTTAGTAGCAGAGTATTTAAGTACAAAAATAAGGTTTCTCGCTGAGTGATACTAGACGTTTAAAAAATGTTTCGTTAATAAATAATGTCAACTAATAAATCTAGTTAAAAACTTTGTGAATAATAACATTTTTTTATCGTTTTCCTTCCTATTTTCTATTACTTTCTGTGGTCAACTAACTTTTATCTTAAGAAAATCATTCCTAAAACCAGGGTTGCTTTATTTACCCTAATAAAATAATGAATTACGATCACAATTTCATCATAACATACAAGGTAATTCTATATGCATAAATGTTTGATGTGATGAACTTTGTTTTTCCATAATAACTTAACTTGTCTGATAAGTGTGACTTTCTATGCTTCATTGTTTTTATGATGTTTTGCACTAAATCTTTTTGGAACATTTATTTTTACTTGTTAATTACTTAATTTGTTACTTTTTTGTCCACTAAAACTCCATTTTCACTGCCACTCAAAAAATCTATTGAAACTGCCTTCAGCATGGGGTTAGTTGTTTCATATTGTTGTTATTTTGTCCAAAATGAAAATTTAATGTTAAATGTCCTCGTTTTTCTGTTACATTTTGTTCACACTTTGGTTCCTAACAAATTCTTCTAACACTGGCTTAGTTTAGTTTTAGTATTAGTGTTTGGATGCTGCTGTTTCTTGAGGGTAAACATTATTTCAGTCTTTAATTTGTTTCCCTGGCACATTAAATACCATGTGCTAGGTCATCAGATCTTTAGATTTTTGGTGATTCATTATAAAAAAAAAAATTAAAATATGGTAACAATTTAAAGTTATAGTAAAGCTAAACTTGATTTTCCTACCTTTTTTAGTAATTAAATTCTAAACCTTATTATTGTGGACAATTTATCACCATAAGATCACCCTCCTTATTTACGCCACTGGGTCCTTATTTTGACGTCACAATGGTTCTATATTCAGTACGCCGCCAAGCTATCTTCACTCAGAGCGCACTCGTGGCTTTCTTACTTTGGGCAGTGGATTTTGAAATTTAGCGTATTAAACTAAAATATTTTGTGTTGGGAAGTTGGTGTTAAGATAAACCTTTTGATTACAAAAAAACTGCAAGCCGGATGACAATTTATCATCAAATTTGTCATGTGTACTGTCAAGGACACAACGGCTGTTACATACAAAATGTAGAAACATTCTATCACCAATATGTTAACCCTAGTCCACTGCCGCGCAAAGCAAAAACGAGTGTTACTTTCTAGATATCCCTTGTAACATTTAGGTTAATACTTGCAAAAATTTTAATTTTTCCAATTAACCAAAAGGTAAAAAACTACATAAAAAAAAGAAACAGCAGCATCACACAGGGCAGTGTTCTTTGTCCCTTGGTGTTCACTAACTGCTAGCCTGCTTGGTTGTGTGTCAGTGATACAATAAAGATGGCTGCCCCTCCCCCCTCCTCCACAGACGGCGACAGTCGAGACGATCTTCACCCTTTGCTTGCTAACCACGGGTAAGTAAGTGTCTGGGGAGTTGTAAGTGATTAGACGTTGGGATTAGTTGTTTAGGTCATAGAAGTTGTGAAGTGTTTGCTATGGATAGTTGGTCATAGTTAGTATTGTTTATTGGAATTGACTTTTGTTGAGTATTCGGTTTATACTATTTATAATAACTATCAGGGTAATTTTTTGTTCTTTTATTTTACTTAAGCCACAGGAATTTTTCTTTATGCAAAGTATACTTATATAAAGTGGTAACAAATTCTATTTTGTAAAAAAAATATTGACACAAGAGGTGGTTTCTTACTGTGTGTTTTTTCGGATAAAAAAAAAACACTAAATCTGCTGTACTAAAAAAATAACTACACAGAAAATATTACTTGTAGGTTATGAATCTAGCTAGCATACTATTCATGTCCTTAAAATCCCCTCTGTAGACGTCTACTGTAAGACTTACTCAAGTTGATTTCAGAAATTAATTTATTGGTTTTTATAGCAATTAAAAGTAAATCAGCAATTTATATATTTACACTATATATTAATTTTATTTCAATTCTGATATACTGTAGTCGCCCACTTTTAATCCCAACAAAGCTGGTAAAATTAAATCAAAGAGAAGTTAATAGCTATTTACCTTACAAGTGTAGTAAGAGCGTTTTTACATCACGCAGGTGAATGTTGTGCAACAAGCGGAAGCGAGTTGCATAATTTACCTAAGTGATGTAAACACGCTCTTGCGTAACGTGTAACGTACAAGATTTTACCTGACCCGACAATTTACAGGAGGTTACGAATAATATTTTTCATTATCCATTATTTTTTTCATTCACTCATCTTCTAACAGTAACGTTCATTTACAAACAAAAGCTAGGTTAGGAAAATTCTTCAAAACATAACAATAAAATTCAAGCGCACACACAGCTGATTTCTAGTGTTGAACGTCGTTGGCTCCATACAGGTATATTTTTTTAGTAAGGCACTCAATGTTATTTTAATCGGGTTTCATTACCTCACTAAGTGAGTTTTGTTCAACTTTACATCATTCGAGAAGTAATGAAGTTGTATACATCACGCTTGGGATAGGGAACACATGGCGGGTTAGGTAAAATATGTTTAAAGATCAATATGATCCTATTCTGCGCACTGTACTTACTCTGTTGTGAAGCATGGGGAAAGTAACTACTGTAGTTAAAAAAATTATAATTTATTATTAAAATTATTGATTTCCGAAGAATGGTGCATGTCTTAGATGTTATTTTGTTTGCATATTTCCTATTTTTGTTACAGTTTGGTCGTATGTATGTTACCTATTTCACTGCAAATATTTTCCTACAAAAAAAATTATTGATGTCTGGTAAAAAGTTATTTCATTTGTCTATTTTATCTTCTGTTTGTTACCTCTTGCTGTTTAGACCATCATGACAAATAAAGGTCCTATCAACAGATATAATTAGAAACTCCACCTCATTTATTATAATCACTCTCCGACATTTGCATAGTCAAATTTCATTATCTTTTGTCATCACCTATTCTATTTTCCCCCTTTATTCAAATAAAATGCCACACTTATTTTTTCCCCTTTTAATATTAGAACACTCATTAAACTCTTAAGCTTAAAAAAATTAATAATTTAGTATATTTAATTGTTTTGTACGGTTATTGGTAACGGAGATCATTCAAAAGACCTTTAGCTCGTTTAAGGGCTTTAGAGACTTAACCGTTGTAATATTTCTATTTGTATTATATAACTTCAATTTTGACAAAGTTACACTATACCTACTAATGCACCCCTATGTTTACTATTCACACCACAGACTCTATTGCCCTTCATGACTAGTAAGTCATAGCGCATTTACTAACCAATCTCACCCACACCTCCGCCATGTGGTTTGTTCTAGTGGTACACTCAGTAGCTCCAGAGCCATGAGTATGTCTGCACCGTCGGCCATCAACATGGAGCATCGCTCTTCTGACGTTAATCAGCTGTGAGTTGTTTATCTTTGTGATAATGTTTATCAAATAGATGCTAATCTCAGTTGTTTCTGGGAATAAGTTTAAGGATGAACCAGAATTTTCAAAGCGTAGTACAGGCAAAACCTCCGCTTGGCGAGAATTGTTTTTTCATATTTTAAGCAACCAATGAAGGGTTAAAAACTTCATTTTTTTAACTTCTGGGAGATAAGTTGTTGTAGTAAGTCAAGCTTTACTAAGGGAAGGTAAGTTAGCTTGGAGTGAGATAACACAGGAATGTTTACATTTTCATTCTTCTTTTGTCTTTACTATTCTGTCTCATACTATTTGATTGTTGCATTTACTCTGTGAATGTCCTATGTTTCTATCACTCACAATAAAGTAACAAAAGCCTGTTTAAATGTTTATAAAATAATTTAAGAAACGTGCATTACAGCCATCATAATGCATTGTACTTATTGACTTGATGTTTCATAATGATCCTGTCAAGTCATTAGTTAACAAAATAGGTTCTTTTCTTTTTGGCATGTGAAATTTCCATGGAACTTGGATATTTTTATTTTTGAACAATCATCATTAATCTGCGAGCTTCCGGTCCTTCATGGTGTTAGATCGGTTCTCTTTTCACATCTTGCAAGTTGAAAAATTGCAAGAATAGGAGAAGATGCTGCTGTGATCAAGAGAGATGATCACAATTTTGCCACAATGACAGGAATCAAATGCAATGATGCCGTGATGACAGGAATCCATCACAATGTTGCCGTGATGACAGGAATCAATCACAATGTTGCCGTGATGACAGGAATCAATCACAATGTTGCCATGATGACAGGAATCAATCACAATGTTGCCGTGATGACAGGAATCCATAACAATGTTGCCATGATGACAGGAATCCATAACAATGTTGCCATGATAACAGGAATCCAATACAATGTTGCCATGATGACAGGAATCTATCACAATGTTGCAATGATAACTGAAATCCATTACAATGTTGCCATGATGACAGGAATCCATCACAATGTTGCCATGATGACAGGAATCTATCACAATGTTGCAATGATAACTGGAATCCATTACAATGTTGCCATGATGACAGGAATCCATCACAATGTTGCCATGATGATAGGAATCCATTACAATGTTGCCATGATGACAGGAATCCATCACAATGTTGCCCTGATGACAGGAATCCATCACAATGTTGCCAATATAACAGGAGTCCATCACAATGTTGCCATGATGACAGGAATCCATCACAATGTTGCCGTGATGACAGGAATCCATCACAATGTTGCCCTGATAACAGGAATCTATCACAATGTTGCCATGATGACAGGAATCCATCACAATGTTGCCATGATGACAGGAATCTATCACAATGTTGCCGTGATGACAGGAATCCATCACAATGTTGCCCTGATAACAGGAATCTATCACAATGTTGCCATGATGACAGGAATCCATCACAATGTTGCCATGATGACAGGAATCCATCACAATGTTGCCGTGATGACAGGAATCCATCACAATGTTGCCCTGATAACAGGAATCTATCACAATGTTGCCATGATGACAGGAATCTACCACAATGTTGCCATGATAACAGGAATCTATTACAATGTTGCCGTGATGACAGGAATCCATCACAATGTTGCCATGATGACAGGAATCCATCACAATGTTGCCATGATGACAGGAATCCATCACAATGTTGCCGTGATGACAGGAATCCATCACAATGTTGCCCTGATAACAGGAATCTATCACAATGTTGCCATGATGACAGGAATCTACCACAATGTTGCCATGATAACAGGAATCTATCACAATGTTGCCATGATGACAGGAATCCATCACAATGTTGCCATGATGACAGGAATCCATCACAATGTTGCCATGATGACAGGAATTCTGCACAATGTTGCCGTGATGTCAGGAATCCATCACAATGTTGCCATGATGACAGGAATCCATCACAATGTTGCCATGAAATTATTTAAACTCAAAGACTGGTCTGTGAAATAAAAGGATAATTTGTTGTAGACCTGTATGCATTCATAAGGCCCATTGTGAAACAAAGCTAATCTGTGGCTTGGAATTTCCAAAAATTGTGTTTGTCTAGCTTCATAATTATGAGTTTTTTACAGTTTTCAAATAAATAAATAAATGCTGTTCTTAATTGTGTTGTGTATAATTGTACAGTGATGACTGATGACTTGTACATTTACAGTGTGACAATGGAGGATGATTGTCCAGACCTGAGCCACGGAGATGCGTGGCAGTCACTCAGTTGTCTGACAGACAGCACAGAACAAAGCGCTCCTGTCAACTTTGACATGTCTAACAGGGTGAGCATTAAGTCTGCTTTACATCAACAGAAAGCCTAATAAACAACAATAATAACACTAATCTGTAATAAGAAGAAACTATTCCTATAGCTTACTATAACTTGCTTTTACGTTCCTACGCAAGAGCAAGTTTTAAAATCAACTTTGTTTTATTGTTGATCCACTAACAAATAATATAGCAGTTAAATATTTTTCACACAATTTTAAATTTGTTATGGTTTAATATAATCCATATTGAAAGACACTAAAAAAATGGCTGGTTAAAATAATGGTATGTGAGTCCTTTTGTAATTTTTTTTAAGTTTACTGTCTCTATCACAATTTTAAAACAATGGCTTCAAAAACCGAGATGTTTAATTGGCAAGTTTTGATTTGTCTGGGCCAATCGTTGGTGTAACTTAATCTTCTGATCTAGTGGTAAATAGTCAGAAGAATAACTCTAGCTAATACAAGTCAAAGTACTTCAAGCATCTGTAGATCTGCTGCTATCCAATTCCATAATCATACAGAAAATTGCATTAATTAATCCACTATTTTACACACAATCTCTTCCTTCCTACAGGCCAAACTACCCCGTGGCATAGACAAGATCAGGCCTCACCTGGAGTTGGTGGACAATGTGCCTCTGTTGGTATCACTGTTTACTGACTGCACAGTGTCGACAACCCGAGAGATGATCCACATAATGCAGGATTACGGAGAGACTGTGTGTGTGATGGGTTCGTCAGCTAATGCAGACAACGTGGGCATCTTCCTGCAAGCCAACGCTAGGTATACTAGGCAGATGTCGCAAGTTGTAACTTTACTATGAAAAATTGGAATTGGTTTTTTTTTAATCTACCCGTGTTTGAAAACAGATGTTTACTGTGTGGTTAAAGATTCAATGCATTAAAATGTGTGATTTCAAGCCTTGAAATTGACTGCTTTTGAATTTCTTTAGCTTTAAACTCAAACTTTAGAATCACTTCATTGGAACTAAGTCTTACAGAGTCCATTGCATTTTGTAAATAATTAAATTTCCATTCAAACGGCATTTTTTTGGCTACTATATGGCTGTGGTAACTCTGTATAGAGCGCATTATGTTCTATCTTTTGTCATTTTGAAGACTAGTGTTATTTGATTTTGCCAAAGTTTTAAGCACTAAAAGCATGTTTAAAAAATATTTAATTTCCTTAACAAAATTTGGAGGTCAATTTGAACTCATAAATAAGAAAAGCGTTTTTGTTCAGTGATCTTCCATGAAGTTTAGAAAGGTAACAATGCTGGAAACAACAACTTGTCAATATAATGCTGGTGTAAAACAAGTCATTAATTTCAAGGTATTTGTCTGTCACAGCTATTTTTTCAATGTGCAAGGCCGTATAGTGTTTAGAAGCAAAGCAAATCACATCAGATTAGATAATTATGTTTAGAACTATTCCTGAATTTGTTACATTCAACACTCCATCCACAGCCTGGCAGTGGAGCCCCTGTTCCCCCAGGTGTGTCAGAAAGTGAGTGTGTTTCAAGAGACGACGTCACAGCAAGGACAATCTCCGGTTTATTTGTCCAACACCCTCAACTCGCTACCATGCTGCATGCAGGACGCCAGCTCCATCTTTCTGCTGATAATGGAGGTAAGATATATTATTCGTGTTCACTGCACATGAATATTAAGTAATCATGTCACTGAAGTCCTAAGGTCCATATCATTACTTTTCCTACTTCCTAAACACAAATCCTACTTCAAAACTAGTCCTACTTCAAAGCTTGAAAAAATGTATAACCAACTAAAAGACTATTCAACTTGGGAATAAAATCATTGAACATCAAACTGTTGAATAGATAAAATCAGTAACAAAATCATTTTCAAAAGTGCATGTCTTAGGATTTGTTTTGGACCGATGTTATCTTGGGCACTAGTAAATTTTTTTGGTATTTGTCTTTAGCACTTTCCCTAAATGTGTTTGCAATCATCTTCAACCGACACGTCTTGAGAGATCGGATAGAGCATTCTCCCTGCTGACTATGATTACAATGCAATTGACAGTTGCCGTGTTACAGATGTTATCCTCTAACTTGTCCAGGCTAGACACTTCATGCAGTGTGCCTGGAGCAGTATACAGTACTGGGTGTGCTGTCTACTCACACTAACTACAGTCCAACTGCTTGCTGCCATGTTTCTGCTACCTCCAATATTCACATTGGGTGAGAAACAAACTTAGTTATTTTCACTCTGAAATAATTTTATATAATAAACCTTGGTGGTCTAAGTGGATACTTCAGTAGAACTAGAGGTCGTACAGTGGTCGAAAACTCGACCAAAAACATGTAATGTTCAGACTTCTTTATTTTCACCCTACGCTGTTAAATAAAACATGTTATTGGAATTTCTTCAATTTATTTTGATTTTCTGTTTATTGTGTTGTTATTTCGGCACCAGCATAGCAACCCATGATTTTTTTTTATTTCAAATTAAATTTGTGTGCTTATTTTTTAGCCTTTAATTTATCAAGGGATTCTGCCCATCTACAGGAAAATATCTTTCCAACAGTATGTGTAGATTTCCCCTGCAATGCACAGGAGCTGAGAAAAAAGATTTTAAAGAAACATGATTGCCTATTAATATATAGACAAGTTGCCCAATGTATTAGTGTACTTTAAGTAATCAAGTGTTTGATTCTCAGTTATTATTCCTGAGTTCGGAACCAATCTCATGATTGGTGTTTTGAAAATCAAATGATAATTACAGAATCAGGATTAAATAAGAACAAGATATAGTTATCTTTTGTAGTGGGTTTAGGAGAGAGATGGAGTTGTTTAGCTTACTTGAGTAAATAACAGTTCAGGAACTTGTTAAATAAAAATACACAAAAACGTGTCACAACTCAACAGATACTTAACTCCTAGAACTTATTCAGGAAGGAGAATGACGAGATGTAAATTGTACAACCTCAAAGGTTGTAAGCTGTCGTAACCTAAACGTTACGCTAGAAAAGTGGACAATAATTATGAGAGAACCACTTACGATCGTTGGTGAACATAGAAGACGGAGCCGTGACGAATCATCCCACTTCAGGGCTCAGTGCACAGTGCAGCCACCCCGCAAAACATAATAACTCTTCTGTTACTAATAATTATGACTGTTCATATGAAACTATAATGACTTCTACTACATAAGCCAAAGTGTTTCTAACTTGGTCCCATTATTGGCATAGAGATAATGTCTAATCACTGCAATACATGTTTTGTGTAGTGGATTTTAAAGGGATATTTGAGATACAAGGTATTTTTGTTGAGTTGTTTGTGTGTGTGCAGGCCAGGTGTTGTGGCTGTCCGTGGTGATCACTCCGCTGTTGTCACTGTCACTGGTCGCTGCCAAGACTGATCCTCAGGTGATGCACCGAGCCACAGGCAAGAACCACACCACTCTCAATACTGAGGTAAACATACTGTGCTATCAAATATGAATGTTTAATTCAAGTATATATATTGAAGTACAATTAGTGTCTAAATGTTGTGCTTTGTGCTTGCCTAGAGACACTCTAAGAGTCTTCTGGTTGTTAGGAAAAAACCATGGTTTATGTGCCTAATTGTTACAGGACGTACAGTATACTGCTGATTATCTAAGACCTGGTTATCTGAGCCCTTGAGTTATCAAAGGTTAATTTATGACTACATTTTTTTTCAATAATTCATTACATTATTTTCCTGTAAAAAAAGTTAAGGTAGTAATTTCTGATTTGTTAACCCTTTCAGTGCTATGCAACGATATATTGTCGATATGTCGATGTGTTACGATATATACTTGGTTGGCCACCAAACTGTTGGCAAGCTGGACGAGCCCTCTGCAGAACTTAAACAGAAGAACCTACAAGTGTCGGTCTAGGTCATTACAATGTTTTGGTGCAGACAGACATAATTGTTTCAAGTTATAGCTCAGGTCAAGCTAAACCATGTAATTTTATGCTTTCGAACCTAGAGAAATCCACCTTATTATCTTGTTTAATATATGGAACAATCCCTTGTACAGATGGCAGTGTTTGTGCTGTGGTGTTATGGAGTCAAGTTTGTCATCACCATGGTGCTGGCCCCAGTCATGTTTGCTGGGACATTGTCTCTATACTGTTTCCAGCTGCAGCCTGAAGCTACTACGAGCCAGGTTGGTAACAGGTTTTATTTTGATGTTTATCTATGCATTTAATACAATGAAGGTCAATACACACTGTCCTTCCATCCTCAGACGTTTACAGGCTGTCAATACACACGGAATCTAACTATTTTGATTTTATTTTCGCACCTAGATAAAATGCTTATGCATTTCTTTAGACAATTGTAATACTTGGATATTATTACAAATTTCAATCAACAAGTACATATCAACATATTTACTTATTATAATTTAAAAGGTTAAATAAACTGCTTGCTTTTCATTCACAGGCTGGTTGCCACTTCAACCAGGCTTTTTCCTATGCAACAATGGTCAGTCTGTTTTATTTTCGGTTTATCACTTTGTCTGATTGTCCGCAGTGTGGTACTTTACCCCCAACAGTCATACAGCAGTGCAGCCAATGTAACAACACAGTGGCCTGGGGTGGCTGGTCAGAGTATCCCTTGCACCTACAATCTGCTAGGTTGGCAATATGTGGTCTAGTGGTGCTGCATTTTTGTGAGTATTAGAAGTTTTAAAAAATTATTATTAGCTTTTGGGTTTTTAAAGATTTTAAAGATAAGAAAATTCCTGCAAAGTTCTACTTGAAAATACAGTACATCAATTTGAACCACAATTGGTACTGTGAACTCATAAGTTTTCAATTTAATTGTTGTCCTCCCTTATACTGTAACTTGATTGGAAGAAAAGTCTGTAGTGTCGTAGATTACTTATCATGAAGACCATGCAATGACAAAATACAATTCTTATCGGAAGTAAGTAGGCCTAGTAGCAAAATTCTGTTTGAAATCGATGATGTATTCCATATTAAACTTAGAAATTAGTTCTTCTATATGGTGTGTACTGTGGTTGACTTAACTGTTTACATTTATCAATGTTCTACCTTAACAAAGAATATTGTAAATTGTGTTCAGCTCAAATAATGTGTTGCCCATTATCTTAGAAATCTGCTGCACCAAAAATTTAACCATTGCTAAATGGCTCTCAGATTATCATATTTCTGTTTCAGTGGTCATTTCCATCAGTTTCGTCTACAGGGAACGGCTGATTTGGAGGCGAGCTCCATGGAAAAATGTTGTTTGGGTTTTCACATTCTTCCTAGTGTAAGTTAAATTGATGTTAATTGAGTCTACCAGAATGTTTCGAAGTGAAAATCTTTAACTGTTTGTAAGTTATACTTACACTTTTTTTATAGCAAAGAAGTCTTCCCATCTATATAGACCAGCTGTTGCCAATATTGTTTTACTGTGATAGTTGATGTGTCATAAAAGATGCTATGCTATAGTTTACAATAATTTTTTCCTATTAGTTTGGCTTGATAAAAAATGTTGGTCTATTCCACAGAAATGAGTAATTTACACACACTCTGTCAGTGGCCCAATTCAACTTTGTTAATAAAACTGGTAACATTGGAATGGAATATCTAGTCCTATCTAAAGTCAGAAGTTTTATTTTATCAATCAATTTATTCTTTGAAAAACAAAATTTGACATCTAATGTTGAACCTAATTTTTTATCGACAGGCTGGGTCTTCAGAGCGGGTTTACATTGTTGTCCCTGCAGTGGCACGGCTACCAATACGACACGGCTGAAACTGGCTGGCCTGAAATGCCTGTTGTGTTGGTAACACTCACTTCTCTTCCTCTCGTCTTCCTCGTCAACGAGTCTGTCAAGTGGCAAGAGATCAAGTAAGTGTCATAACACTAATATATCCTTAAGATCACTCTTTGAGGGTTAATTACACAGTCATGGCATGAACTATAGTGTCTTCCATAAGAAAAATCAAAGTTGGCGGCCATATTGGAAAAATGGTGGCTAAAATTATTTTTTCAACTTGACAAAATAAAAAAAATATAAAATCCAAGGCAGTTACGGTTTAACATATTTTATATCTCTTATAACTTTTGAATAAAACAGCTGGCACACTTATATCAATCACCCTGTATGTGTGTGTGTGTGTGTGAGGGATGTTGTGGGTTCTGGTGTCGCCACTAAAATATAATCTGAAGTGTTCACCCTTGTATGTATCGGCTCACCCCTTGCTTTGCTTTACACGGTCCACGGAATGCCTGAGGTCTGTGTGGACAGGAAAATACAAGGGCGATAAAAAACAGAAATTGAGAAAACTATGGTTGTAATTAAGTTTTGGCGGTTTTACCTTTCAGACTTACGATGTTGTAATAAAACTTGTATGGTGCTTATCATTATTGCTGATTTGGTCAAGAATTTAAAATAGGCTAATTCATTGATGTTTTCAGGGCTAACGAAAGGTATCAGAAAAGAGCGCGGTTGGATTTTGGGACCAAGCTGGGTATGAACTCTCCATTTTGAAACATCAATTTTTGGAGCCGCAGCCCACAAGTCCAACATCACTGTCTCCTTTGTCTTCACAAAAGATAAGAATTTTATTTTATAAAGACGTAGAAAGTATCTTCTGAAACCAGTACAGCAGATTTAAAATAGTCTGATGTATATTTTTGCTAATATTTTTCATATAATCGTATTTGTGTAAACTTTTACTTATAAGACTGCCATATTGAATCGTCAGTTTAATTTTGAAAAAATAATGTCTCTGGCGACTCAGTGGGATTACATAAATTAACGCTAATCAAATGCATATCCATTGTCTTTTGGAAGATAATGAAATTTTTAACATTTGAGCATTTTTGTTAATTTAGTTTTAAACTTTTAATTGTTGATGTAGAATTTGTTTAGAAAGTTCTTAGAACTTAAAGTTATTTTGTTGAACTTAGTTGTGATTTTATGCTTTTATACCAAGTACTGTACTTAAAACTGTCTATGCTTAGATGTCACTGATTTAACAGTTTCTAAGTAGTATTTATTCATTTGTCAAATAATAATTTTGCAATTTATCTTTACAAAGAGGATAAATACAAATAAAAAACCAATCCCCTAACTATTTAGTCATTTTCACTGTGTTCAGTATTTTTTAAATTGAAATATAAATGTGTCATTACTTGTAAATAAATGGTGTACAATTTAATTGAAACATATTTAGAACTGCAATTGTTTTCTCATTAAAGAGACATGGTTGAAGATACTGCTTACAAAATCGTGGGTTACGCCCAGGAAATTGAAAAAAAATTTATATTTTAAGTCATGTTTAAGTTTAACTCGATTCCTAAATAGTTTGCCGTTATCTTTTTCTTAAATTAAAATAGAGCCATGGTCAAACTAAATATAAGCTGTATTTTTTATCCAAAATAAAAATCTGTGAATTAATTAACAAAGCATTATTATATGGTAAGGACTATGTTAATGTTGAAAATTTTGATCAAAACAAAGGTTAAATGCGACTTAATATCGTTATATAGTTCATTATCGTTCATATATTTTGGGTCTGTTTTGGACTCAATTATTGCTTTGGACTATAAATTGCTGGCTGATGATATTGTAAGTCAATCAGCTGATAAGATAAAAGAATACAAGTCCTTACATTTTACTCACTAAGAAACATACCTCTTGCACTCTTTTCTTTGTTCACTCTTTAAATTGTCAAACTTGTTTAACTTTACCTACAGTTATGATATTATCTGTACATATTATATTGTATGATATTATCCGTGATGAGATTTCGGAATGTTTACTGTCTAATCATATAACGTTGTCTTGTAAGTTAAAACTGTAAGATATCAAAAGTACTGCCTCAATAAGAACTCTTACATTGTCACAGAAATCGTACGTAGAATACGTGTTATTAGCGGTATGTGTTTAAATACTCACTAATGTGTTTGGAATGTCGAATGTTTACCAGAGTTACAAGTTTGTGTTTTTCGCTTTAAAATAATTTTACAAAATCATTTTTCTGTAAAGTTTCTAGAACTTGATTGATTTTAGTATGAAATATCGCAGGTTAATTTGATTTAGGTACTGTTTACTGTCAACTTCAATTGCTCTACACCCAATTATGGAGACATCTGGGTGGTTAGAATGCGGGACTTCGGTCCCTGAGGTCCCGGGTTCAAATCCTGCCAAATCACCAAGATGGATTTAATCTAAGTGATAATGCCGCAACCCCTAGGTCTAGCCTGAAGTAATGTGAAAAGCAATCCTGGGCTCGTGCCTAGCGTCTAAGGGAAAAAAAATTATGGAGTCATCGTAAAAACGGACACAGGACTAACTAATTAACATGTTCACTGGGGTCGCGCGTTGACCGGCTGTGGCCGGTGGCGAAAACAGCTAATGTGCTGCGTGGATGAGTGTGCGAAAACGTTAAAATTTAGTTTCATCCAAATGAGAGGAATGTAGCAAGTACCCAGCATGAATCCAGTCGTTGCGGATGTAGTAAATGATCCCAACAGATAGCAGCACTAAACAAAACTGTTAGCCGGTCCTTAGTATTGCGTAATGGAGGGAAAAACCAGGGGCGAATTACCGGGATACACCATAAAAAATACCACAAAAGGGGTCAAGCACCATTTTGAGGTTAGGTTCCTTCCACAATTCTACACTACAGTCATTATCGTTGTTCTATTCCAAGTCACTAAATCCAAGCCTGAACCTCACACTAAAATTATTATTTTCGAACGGTTCCCACCACTGTTGAAAAAAAAACTGAAAATTAATTATACCGGATAGAAGTATAAAACTGGCACAATAAGCGGCAAGCGAAACAACGTCTCATAGCAATGCTAACCTCAAACTGGAACAACTGTTTTTAAAGGTGCTTTGACAATTATACTCGTTATGCGGCGAAGAACTGCTAGCAGAGACGAGCAGTAAACATGTTACCTAACCTAACAGTAACTTGAAATTGTATTCATAAACATTGCCTGATGTTCTAGTCCTGACACGATCCTAATTTATACAATTGGAATTTAACAAAAAAATATTGAACAATCAACCAAACATAATTTATTCTACTTTGTAATAAAAAAAAATGTAAGAACTAAGCAAGTAGCCTAAGATTTGAGGATGTACTTTTTGAACCTACATTTAACGTCTACCTGTTTGTATGTCTCAGTGAGATTAACTTTGTAAAACTTGATGTTTAATATACAGACAGGATTTTTAACTGTATGTAACTAGAGTTTAGTGAACATGCGTGTCTAACTTTCTGTAGGTGTCACCAAACTTTGAAGCTGGTCTTCGAAGGGTATTTTTGTAGACAAATAATAGCAACGAAACTATCAGTATTATTGTCATCTTGCCATTTTATAAATTTTGGTGGGTTTTTAAAGGAAAAAATCATTCTCTTATCTTATTAGGTAGAAATTATAGTAAATTTGTCAATTGTACAAACTAAGGATTCGTTTATGAAATACTTTGCGTTAGGAATTTACAGTCCTTTAAAATGTCATCATAATGCGAGATTTTTTGAAAGCTTTATCATGGTCACAAACACCTTGGTAATTAAAACTGTGTTTTTGATTTCTGAATCCAGTACCCTAAAAAAAGTACAGTTGTTTGGCACCTAGGTCTTACCATAAGCACCACAATATTTATATTTTTTATGTCTAAATGAATACAACTGGATAACTTTGGTAAAACTATATTTAACGGTAATTGTAAATCTGAGATTATTTATAAAAAAACATTTTTATATTTTCTGTTAACGTTAGTACTTGGAGTTTAACAAGAATTTATCTAAAAATGTTAAATAATTTTATGTATGTTTAACTCGCCAACTACCTTTGATTTAGTTAGGTTACTGATTAGTGTACTTAGCGGTATGTGTTTTAAAGTCGAATTTGAATAGTTAATTTGTTACATGTATATATTTTCTTAGTTGTATTTTTTGTTCTATTTAACTAATTTACTGATTGTTATTCATATTTTTGTACTTATAACATTTACTCTATTTGTCATTTACAAAAATATCTACTTTAATTAACTCATGTGTCATATAGATTGCTAGTTAACTGAATTCCTCACAAGTGATTGGAATGCTTATTTAATAGTTTATGGTCCCGTTTTTAGATAAGTACCACTTTGTTTTAATGGTAGAGGGTGACAACTCAACTATTTTTTATCAATTTTAATTGTTTACCATTTATAATGTTAAACATTGTGAAAATATTTTAAGAATGTCTAAAAACACTTCATTATGTGATATTCCTGGAACCTGGTGATTCAGAACTAAGTTAAAAACTTTAAATCGTCCATCCAGGAAACTTTAAAGTACCGGTACTCATTTATCAATTGGTGAAAAAAAAACTTTTCATCAACTACTCATTGTTACCACTCTATACTAAGTTAACTGATATTTACACTAAGATTTTCATTGTCATTTATTCAGTCTTTCAACAGTACTATATTTCAATAGATTTTTTAAAATATTAAAATCATTACCCTGTTTTGATTTTGGCTGCGCTAAAACAAGTCAAGTAGGGTTTATATTATAAATTAGAATTTCAAAGCAACAAATATTCTTTTAGGTTATTTCGTTATTTGAATTATAGAGTGTTGGTTATCTGATCTTCCGCTGTCCGACCCTTCTTGTAGACAATCAAGTACCAAAATTCCGATGATATTTCAATGTGGAATGTACACCATAGTGGGTACATGAGAGACCCCTTCGTACTATCTTTAGTCCCAAGACTTTGGTCACCTTTACTTTCTGATTATTTATACACACAGTTCATCAACACCACACACCTGCTACTCCTTGCGTATTACCATAGACACAAAGAATTAAATATAGACCGACAGCAGTGCTGCGGTTAGCATAAGTTCTGGCGTCCACCGCTAGGAGTGCCGTGTAGTTACGTAGTGTGTGCGTCGTAACTACTCGGTGGTGGACGCCAGAACGTATGCTAACCGCAGCACTGCGTCTATATTTAATACAGTCACATTATTTTATCACTGTTTATTAAGACGATTATTTTTTGTTATCTATAATAGTGGTTTCATAAAAGGAAAGAAGTTTGTGGCTGCAATGAAATACTAACTTAAAGTAATGATTTTCAACATTTAAAATATATTTTTATTATTTTCTGTGCTATCCAACCTTTCTGCTTATCTGACCTTGCTATGGACAGTTTAGGTCAAATAATTTGATACCCTACTATATTATAGGTTAAATACTCAATACATTAAAAGAAAAGGTACTTAAGGGGGTTCTACCCGGCAGCCTGAATTTCAATTCAAGCTGGTGGATTATATGGATTTAAATATAGTTCAGGTTTGAACATGCCTCTATTGTAAAAGCTCTCAACATTCAAAAACTAATTTTTTTCCAATGATTGTGTGCTTTTTGTGCTATTGACACTTCAGAGCCTGCAATGGATGGGGAAAAATGAGTTTTTAGCTATTATTTCGAAGATAAAATCACATGTAAAAAAGACTTATTTACGTATTTTAAAAAATATTAGGTAAATTCCTAAAGAAACAACTACAAATTTCCAGTTCATCGAGTGCATAGTTTGGATTTTTGAATATTTTACAGTTTATTTCAACTCGATAAACACTTTAATAATGCCACGAGGGTCTTTTTTGTAGGACCATGTTTACGCGGTAACCAGCCGGCGGATGGAACCCTCTTAGTACTTTAAGTACAAATTAAATTTTTCTACCTACCCAAAAAACATTTAGGCCCTATAACAGAATAAAACCAAAAATTTACAGATATAAAACATAACAATCTTTTATATTTTTTATATAATTTTTAAGTCACCTTACTTACCAAAATCAAAGCGTAAAAGAGATGCTACTAAATGCCATCCTTTTTGTAGCTTTTAATTATCCAAAGTTGTTTCCCTATCATTTAGTAACAATCAAACAACAGTACAAACTCACAACAATACTCAAGATCTCTACTCAACGATTGTTTATTGTCAATGTATGTACTTACGGCTCTAAATTTGTAATTAGCCTGTACTCATGGATGTGATTGCGGCAATAAATATATATTTTTGTTACAAACTTGTTTTCCTCAAGCCTTTTACTTTGAACGATCACTTGTGGTTGTTATGCTGTTAACAATCACTAACAGACCAAAATGAAACAAGGTGTTTCAAGCCACAGATTACAAAATATTAGATAAATTTAACCTACATTTGGATTGTTACATTCACATTTTATTACAGTTTTTAATATTGAGGAATGGTTCTTATTATTAAAAATGAAATAAAATACATTTGAACAGTTGCCAAGCAGCCATGGGAAGCTGAGTGGGTTACTAGCTTGTCTAGACTGGTTTCACCCTGAGAAAAGACAGTCGCTTATTCATGATTTTAAACTGGGCCAATGTGACCTTGGCCATTTCCCCTTTACAAAAAATGCTAATAAACACAAAAAAAACTCAAAAATTTTTTGATTTTAAAACATCTTTAGTTTTCAGTATATTTGTTGTCATATCCTTGTATTTATCTTCACTATCCCATGACTTACATGTGACTCAGACTGCTACTAATTCAATTATGATTATTGAATTTGGAGTTTATACGGTTTCCTCAGTAGTTGACCGACTGGAGTGAAGAGAGAAACATTCACATTAAACGTAAGTATTTTGTTTATTTACTTACTTCATTATGCTGCAATTATAAATCAATAAATAGTTCTCAAAGTGAAAATATCTGTTGCAGCAAACCTGCAAACACAGCGGGTTTCAGCTGTGTGTTAATTTTTTTAGGATACGGTTAATGTTTCATAGAAAATGTAGTTTGAACTATTACCAGCATCTAAATAACATTGCCTAGTACTTTACTTTAATTATTATTTTAATTTTGTAATACATTTTTAAATCTAAAAAATATAAAATAATTTTTTTAAGAACTGCTCTTAGTGTTCTAAAACTTCTCAACACGTTGGGGCATCTGAAATAAATACAAACTTTTCTTTAACTTATGTCATAACAAACATAAACCATCAGGTTAAGTAAATACCCCCGCCGCATCAAACCTGCAGACTACGCGAATTTCCATTTACCTGACTGGATTTCTTCTAAAATATTCCCTTCAAACTGTCAGATTTATTTCCTATTTAATTAACATTAATTTTAGTGAGTACTTAGGTTTGCTGCTACAGGGAAGGTACTGAGATGTGTTTTTTTTTATTGAAATGTCGATAGCTTAGTATGAAATAAATTAAATTGTCAAATTTGATTAAAATATACTGTATATATAAACAAGCAAACAGCAACAGTTTATTTATTCTCCATAAGAATAACATGGGAATCTATAATATTAAAACGAAACAGTGTTTTTTTATTTCACGATTCTGAATCAACCACTCAACGGATTTTCATGATTTTTGTGTTGAAAGAAAGATAATTTTGAGAACTAGGGAATGTCGAAGCCATAATTTTAGTTTAGGGTCCCAGTTTTTTAGAAATTAGTTTTTAATTTTTAAAAAGTCTAGCAGCCGACGCTAAGATTCTAAACTAGCTTTTGGCATAAAATAGTTTGCTTAACATAAGAATAACATGGGAATTTTAAATTTAAAATTTTTTGAATTACCTCCGTAATTGTTAGGCATACAACAACACAATTTTTAGTTTTTAGGGTAAAAAAGGAGAAAACAAATTTTTACCCCATCAGCCCCCGTTCCCAAAGTCCGATCATGCTGGTTCGCAAAATCGTTCAAATAAACGTAGGTTTACACGTTTGTACCAAAGTTCATCAAAATCAGACCAATTTTGCTCGAGTTATCGTGCTAACGGACACATACATAAATATATATGTATATGAATTTGAACAGATGGTGTTTTTGGCCTCTGGGGACTTCAAAATAATAAAGAAAATTGATCCTGGGTCTAAGTCTTAGCAATAGACCCACGGTAATAGCTTATTTCTTTTATGGGAAATCCGCTAAAAGATAATTAGTTTCTCGGTATTAACAGTTTTTAAAACCAAAGTTTTAAGCTAAACTAAAACCAATCTTTTAAAACTGAGATTACAAAGTTTGAAACTGCGAAGATTTTAATTATATTGTCTTCCACAATAATAGGAACTGAAACAAAGTAACTTGTTCAGTAAGGTAATTATTAAGTTTGAGTGGTTCAAACCAAACGTCTTTCTCACAATTCAGATTCTCTTGTCAAAGATTGTTATCTTAGATTTTAAAGTAAATTTATTTTTCAAAATAATTAATTTTGGATAGCTTACTTGTTTTATTTGTTTATCATTGACATATTTAATTTTAATTTTAAATTGCAACATTTAGCTTCGATTTGAGTCCCCAAAAAGAGGTTTTTACTGTATTGTTGTATTGTATTATCCCATGTTTACGGAAAATTAAAAGAATACCTTAGAAATAATGTCTGTGGATAGGACTGGAACAACACTGTTTTCTAATTATTTTACAATTAATGTTGAACCTCTTTGTAAAAATAATCCAGATAGTACAATTCAGTACGAATCACTCATTTATATTTACATAAATTTTCACGCTCAATTGATCTATTTTTTACGTAATATATTTGTGTGTTTTTTCCTAAAGGAAAAGAACAATATTTTTGGTAAGAAAGGATAAAAATACAAGGAAGAAAAGATGTAGGGGTGGTGATTTATTTGAAATGTATTCAATTTGACAAGGACAGCGTAAGCTCAGAAACATCTGTCAGAATATTCTAAGGAATATCTTATGAAGTAGAACACTTCTGACATCCAATATTCCGAAGTGTTTTCCGAAAACCAACATTATTTGACAACAGAAATTCTTTTGACGTAAAATCTAAGGTATACATTTTTGAGTAGATACAATTCTCTTAAAATTTAGAACTTAAATTTGAAATAATTTAATAAAATGAAAATATATACAGTTTTTTTCTAAATACATTTAAATAGACTAAATAATTTTCAATTGCATTTTTTCATAGATTGCTGTACAAACATTTTGCAAGGATTTTAGTGGGGAGTATTTTTTTGATAAAGGGTAAGATCTCGGGCCTGGGGGAATTATTCTTTTGTTTGTAAGTTGACATACGGTTTATGATGGGTTTCAAACTACAGGGTAGTCACATTGTCTCATAACTACAGGGGATTTTCAGACGGAAGTCCCATGCTATAACTAGACTAGCCGTACCTTATAGATTAGGTCATTACGATCATACAACATTGACATAGTTTTGACATTTTAATCCAATTTAAATATTTAAATAGGGCTGTTGACATTTTAATCCAATTAAAAATTTTAAATAGGGTTGAAAATCCATTGGGGATATTAAATAAAACTTAAGTAAATAGGGTTTCTTGGTAATTAAATCTTGTTTTTATGCCTAGTTTTTTTCTTTGACTAAAACAATCAAGACATAATTCTTCTACACAGTGATCACCGACTTTCTATTTTCTTTTTTTCCCAATACAAGTTTCCAACAACCCCCAAAAAAACCCCCGTTCCTATAGTCCGATCATTCTGGTTCACGAAGTCGTTTGGATAAATGTAGGTTAACACATTTTTGCCAAATTTAATTAAAAACGGATCAAGTTATATGGATGGATATACTTATATGAATTTAAACGGATGGTGTTTTAGGCCTCTGGGGACATCAAAACGAAAAAGTAAATCGGTCTCGGGTCTAGGTTTTACCATGAGACCCACAGTAGATAGCTACCTATTTGGGAAATTTGCTAAAAATATTTTTTTTATTGATTAAACAAGCTAATTGCTGAAACGTCTTCATATTAGAACAGTGGTATTGGCAAATTGCAGTACAAGCCTTTTGCGTTGCAACAACAAAGGGCGCAATAAGGTGTTTTATGTCCAAATCAGACTTTTGTGGGAGTGGGATTTTAATGAGAATTCTCATTACTCTTTCTAAAAGGAAGCCAGAAATATAAGACAGCCTGCAGCCACAACTGTTTGGTGTTTACCTAGCATTTGTTTATATTGAGTTTAGTGAGAGTTTAATGTATTTTTGGATAACGGAACACTTGTGCGTTTCATTAGTATGACAAGTGTTTGTTTTTGGTGTAAAAACTGTACGTCACGTGTGTTATGTCGTATGCAATTGGCTTTCAATGCCTGTTTTAATTTGTTATTTACAATTATTGGATAGTTTATGATTTGTTGCTGTGAAGTTTTTAGAAATTGGTAAGTATAAAGGCAATATTTCAAAGTAAAATAAATTATTAATTTGTGTACAAGTAAGAAATTTTGTTTTGTAATTGATTGAAGTGTAAAATAAAATATTAAGTGTAAGCAAAATGTTCAGAGTTTTAGAGAGGCAGTTTTTCAAATAATCCATAAGTTACAGTGTATATTTTTATTTTAGATTTTTTTAATGGAGGCTGAAAGTGGCAAAGATTAATTTGAATCGTAAACAACAGAAAAAGTCTGGTAATGGTTCAAATGTACTAGCCAAAAGTTAAAAAAAAATAGCAATGCATATGTTTTATTTACTCACAAGTAACTTTTTATTGGAAAATATTGGAGTAACTTTTTATACACTGTAGGTAGAGTGAATATTAAAACATGAAGTCAAATTTAACACCAGCTTCTTTCACACCTGCCTCTAATACAGCAATTCTTAAGTCAAAATTTTGTATCTTATAATTTTATATGCACAAATAAACTAAATGGAATAAAAAATAACCAAGAGTTTTGCGAGTGCTAATATTTTAAAACTCAACTAACAAATATGTTGATTTGATTCATAAGTAAAAAAACTAACAAAATGTATCAAAATTGTTTACACACAGATTTCGACAATGTTAAAACCAAATCTCAATTTTACTTCATGAAATGTTCACTTTAGAGACAATCGCAGTGATAATGCCGTGACATTGGGAATGATAAAGTCCCCTATGGGTTTCTACTGTTTCTATGGAGACCCACCCTTCCCTCTCCCACCACTAGGTGTTATATGAGAGTTAGTAGTAAATCTCCAGCTCACATGAGTTTCAGCTCTGTACAATCTCTTGTTTACTTCACGTTAGACAGCTGTAAATATCACTTACTGTAATAGCATCACTTGGGAACTATGAAGCTAACTTTATTTGTCTGTAATCCAGAAGCATTTTTAAATTTAGGGATTATTACAAACGTTGGTCTATTTAACTAGTCTTTTTGTTAGTTGGGTTACTTTGTTTCCCAAGGTCCTGAGTTCAAATCCTGCTTATTGCTCGGTAACTGAAGTCTCAAGACCTCTAGACCAATTAATTTGGTCCTCTGTGTTATAATGATGGGTACTTTCTAACAAAAGTATTTGTAACCTAACTAACCAAAAGACTACTGTCTGCAAGCGCCCATAGTGTCCAAGGATGAGAAAGTGTGTGACATTTATACAAATCAGTAACACAATGTAGCTCAAAACAATAATGCTTGCCTAGCAATCAGAGGGTCGATAGTTCGATCCTGCTGAAAAGCCAGTAGCTTTTAGAAGGTGCAAACTGGACCCACTTCTCTTTTGTCATTGGGTCAATGAAGTTACACAGATCATCTCGCTCCGTTGCCATTTACTCATCCTGTATTTATATTTGATATTTACTATTTAGCTTGAAGCACACACTCAAAGTAATCGCTGTCTTAGTGGACTGGTTAAGATGACAGATTTACAACATATGAATTGAAAAACCTTAAGGATTGAAAGAAGTGCTTAAGTACTAGACAACTGTTACTCAGTAAATTTACAGTACATTAAAAATAAACAATTTTCAAATATCTACAAATCAGTTTTAGAAATTTAATTTAGTACTCTTTATATAAGATTTTTTTTTATTAAAAGAATTACATTAAATCTCTTAGTTTCAACTAGTTTTGTTGCTTTAAATACTTGATAATTTAAATTTTTATGACTTATCGAGAACATGACATATAATACGTCAATATTATTGTATGATGAACTTAATCATTAATTTACAATGCCAATATGTTGATTACGCACACCAATATTGCCAACATTGCAACATGTAGTTATTTGGCACCCTCACAGGACACTTCACAATATCAATATTTATGTTCCGTTACATTTGTCAACATCATGAGTAGGATGAACCAATAACACATTGACAAACTAACAGGGAGCAAGCAGTTATGTTTTTGAGTTGCAATTAGTAACTCTAGTAACAATTACTTAATTGAGTGCTTAGGTTACACCATTGACTTTTGATACTCCATGTAGACCCCTTCTATTGTAAAATCTAAATTCTGTTTTGGTGAGTTTTTTCTACAATTTAGGGTACCCATGTAGAATAAACATTTTTGTATGGTGATTTTTATGGTGCGAGCTTTAATTTTTGGTAACAATACCTGAGAGACAGCAAAACCCTATTTGACATCAGCACATTCATCAAGTGTTATTAGACAGTAAAAATCCACCAAAACAAAGAATCAAATTTTGAAAAAGGATTAAATTTAATTGCAGTATCCAAATTGAATGGTTCCAAAGTATCAAAAATATTTCAAATGCACCACAAGACTCCTTTTTACCTACCATATACAAGTTAAAGTTTCTAAATCAGTTTATTGTACTGTGTGAGGTCCTGAATTACACCAAAGTTTTTAGCAATAAAAGTCTGTGTTTTGGGTAAGTTTGAATAATTGTGGGCTCAAAGTTCTAAGAAAATGGCTAGAACAAATTACCAATTGCTTGTCAACAACCAGCAACTTGTCATTGGCTACAACTTGGCTGGTTTGTGAAGTAACTTATCTCATTATAAACTCCTTATCATCTTATCACCTGTCCCAGCCAAACCAAACCAAACCCACAGTTACACTCCTCGGTTGGCGACTGTTTTCTCTTTGTAAGTTTTGTGTTTCACGTTAATGATTAAGAATAGAGTGTAGTTTGCTAAACTTTCAATAAAACAGAAACAAAGATACATAGGTACGGTATTTAATAACAAGTATGAAGCTATGTAGTTGAAGGTTGGGACTACATTTAGAAAAATTAATCCGTTTGGTTTTCTTCTTGGTTTTTGGAAGTTTTGTGAAAAATATCATTGTCTTGTAGAATTATTGGCTATAGAAGTGCTTAAAAAACAAAAATTTAGCATATTGTTATACTATACTAAATTTTTTTATACTATACTTCAATAAATACCAATGGTGTAAATTACATCCCCACAAACCCCACAGTGCACCGATATCGCAGAAAAAGATTAAGTTGTTTCCGTGACCGCGATAGACGATAATGATGTCTTCAAGATCGCGGAAGATCTACAAGATTTTGCCACGATGACGATGTTTCCATGACAGCGGAAGACGACACAAAAAACGACCATGAGAGTGTGTCTTTTATTTTGCTGTTTTTGACAACAATTCTTTATGTTTCATGGTTTTTTTTTATTCTTTCTGTAAGTGGTTCAAATAATTGGTGATACCTATGATTGGAGTTCTAGTACTGATCGTTTATACTCTCTAACGTGTTTCCCTACGAAGCTGTGTTACACATATATTTTAGAGGGTCTCTTTGATTATGTTTTGTAAGCTACAGGATCTTTTTCCTAGCTCGTTGAAAGAGAACAGGGTTAGCTAGCAACTAAGATTTTCCAACAGAAGAAAAGAAGCATTATTTTAATCATACCGTAACTCAATTCATAACATTCTGTTCATTCTGTTTATATTGTTGAAAAATAATTGTAATTCTATGCAGATTTTCCTGACCAAATGAGTTAAACGAATATAACAGATTTGGTGATTTTTTATTAGGGGGAGGGTGTCATCTGTGTACTGCGGGGGTCGCTGTTAAATGTACTTACACTACACAAAAACACACTTTATCATCTTCCCTGTAGCAGCAAATCTATATGTATCCCATGCAAATTGAATGTCATTTTAAGGGATTTTTTTTCTTTGAAATAGTTTAGGGAAAGTCAAATCAAAAATGGAAATTCGCTTAGTCTACTACTATACAGGCTATTTGATACAGCAGGAGCATTGATCTCGGGTGTTTTCATCAGATCGTTATGGATCTTTTCAGAAATTTGTAAACCATGCTTCTCTCCTGGTTAAAAAACTTACATTAGGTTTGACTGTAGGAGATATGTACTAACTATATCCAAATTCAATGTTAACTGCATATACATAATCGTGACATACTTTTGTTTTTTTAAAGCACTTCTATTAATACATTACATAAACATTACTTGTGGTAAACATTTTAATTAAGATGCCAAAATCATTCAGAAGCTTAACAAATTTATCAACGGTTTTAAATGCTTTCAGTAATCTTTTAATAAATATTATTTCAGCCATTAGTGACAAATTATAGGTTTAACTTTCTTCAATCTAGGCTACATGAATTATTTGGGGAGCTCAATTCCAGAGTTGAGCCCGAAATAGTTGCGGTAACATAGTTTATCACCACAGTAAAGTGAGTTTACGGATTAACCCACATGGCTTTGTATTAGTTTGCCAAAGTTTGGCAGGAACATGCTGGTAATCACATGGCTCTATTCAGAACCCTAACTTGTTTAGAACTCAATAAATATTAAATTACTTTACTACATCCCTTTAAAGAATATACTTATATCAAATAGTATTTTTTATCAATCTTCTATCACATCCATTTCAAAAAGAAAGTTAGATATTATTTTCCTGAATTGTAGCTATGCATAAAGGTTTAAGATAATTGTTTTAATCCTCAGGACTTAAGCTGTCCTCAAAGTTTGTTTTAGGCAAAATAATAACTGTAGGAGCAAAAATTGTATTACTTAAATTAAACTTAATTAAATTTATCAGAATGCCAATAAATGTAAAAAGTGTAAACTCACGTTTCACTATTGTAAACCTGATTTAGCTAGTGGGAACAAAAGAAAATCTTGTATAGAAAAAAATATTTGTTTCACTTAATTTTGTAGTACAATAGTTGTTAGTAGTTGATATTTATAACTCCTATTAGCTCCTTGAACTCAAAATATTACAGTACTACATTATTTCTCTATTTCGGTAATAATTAAATGGTTGATTATTTTTTAAATGTAGGCCTACACTGTAAATTATTATCATTTAAACATTCTATACTTTTGGTGAAATAATTAAAGTTGCAAGGAAAAAATTAACTGGAGAGCAGAAAAGATCACTACGATTAAAGAAAATAAGATTTGAGAAAAGACCAACATATATGAGGGTGATGGAAAGAGAGATCATATGTAGTTTTATGTCCCAATAAAACTTGTGCTCTGAGAGCTTGGCTTATAAAAGGTCAAAGGCTACACGCAGAAGCCAATAATGTGGTAAGCTTTGAAAATAATTAAATTTCTGGAAGTCATCACCCCTTTAACCCAAAAGTTTTGTATGTTATAAATAGGCAAAAAAATTGGAAAAATGAAAGTTAAAGTCGAAATCAGCTAGTGAGTAATGTAAGATTCAGCAAACAAAAGCATAATTTTTATTTCAATTAGTAAATTCTTATTTGGTTAATAATTATTCAAAGGAATAACTATAAACTAGTTTATCCAACAGTTTGTGAACTAGGCTACACTAATGTTAGTTTATACTTCTTAAAGTGACAAAACGTAAAATAGACCCACCACCTTGAATATTTTTTAATTAATTCAACTTTATTATAACAATATAAATACATATTTTTGAGAGTTTATTGAAACTTAGATGCAGCAAAATAATATGCAGGAGGATCCAAAACAATTAAATTATCAAAAATGTCTAACTCAAAACATTGAAAGATCAAATCAAAATCAATGTGCCTCGTTTCTTGCCCCTCGAATAAACACAAAACCTCTCGAAAACCGCTACAACTAGTAATTAACTCAAGCAATATAGGTACAGGAAGAGTAACCCAATGAGAGCAAGAGAGATGGGATAGATTTCCCTGCGAGGATGAGAGAGACAGAAAATCTCACAATAATAGCCCTACTAGAGAGTATTGACTAAACTGGTGCGCACCTTTTTTGCGCAGGTTCGTGAGTTTGCGTAGACTGCCCAATGGATCCCAGTGTACTCTCAGCCATGGACAAAGACGCATTGAAGAAACAAATCGAGAACATGAAATACCAAGCAACCATGGAACGCTGGCCCTTATCGAAAAGTATCGCAGCGTAAGTACAACAATATGTTTTACAGCTGTTAAAACACAATTTTTTTGACCGATCAGCTGTTTTAGTGACATATGATTTATTTATATAAACTTGCCCTCTCGCTCGCTCGGAGAGAGGCATAGGCCCAAACCTATTCTGTCACAGTCGCTGTTTATTGATTTGTATTTCGGTTAATTAATTTCGTTTTTATTGTTAGTTTTGGAACATTTAATCCTTTTATTTTTCAACTTCCACTTAAGTTTTTATGCTGAAAATAGGCCGAACTTAAATGAGGTTTTAGGCTATGTTTATGTACAATGCAAATTATGATATATACAGTAACTTAAGCTTATTACAGAAACATCTTACCAATTAATTTAATCTCTTTTATTTCAATCTAATCTATCACAAATTTAAAAAATCAGTCCTTTAACAAAGTGAGTCTATTATAAAAAATTAGGTTCTTATTCTCTTGAAAAGAAAAAAAAGTTACAGTACTTAAAATAAGTAACCTAGGTTAACCTTAGTTTATTTTATTAATATTTAGGGTAATTGAATTGTTTTGTTTTGGCCTCAGGCCTAATAAAATTCACTACCGGTTGTGTAAAATTATCAGTTGATTTTCCTTAGCCTCTTAAATGTAGGCCTACCGGTAGTAGTTTTTTCATCGGAGATCTGTGTGTAGGTAATTTATTTTTGTAGGGGGATAGGCCTAGGCTACAGGCTAAATTAAGTTAATAACTTAGCCTATTATAATGAATACTAACTTACAGGATTGCTTCAGGTTCACAAAATCAACTGTTAAAATTAGAATGGCAAAAGCTGCTGTTCCAAAATAAGTAGGCCTATGTGAAAAAATCAGAGAGACTAAGTTAATCATTAGGCCCCCTAATCTTATTACTTACAGATCTGTTAACTGTCAGAATTCAGAACCGCTAATGGCTGCCCCTGCTAGATACTAGGCTACACAGTAGAGTCTCAGCGACCTTATCTTTGGTAACGACTTTCTGTCTTATCCGACCCTTCCTGCTGAGAACCTAGTACAGTACCAGAAAATCTTTTGTTATTTCTTTGTAGGCCTAGTATGACTTTAGAGGTGCATCTGTTTCTGTAGCAGGTACATAAAAAAACGTTTTGCCGCACCTATCTGTAACTTATTCTGAAGATCTTCAATTCCGGTAGGCCTACAGAGAGACACAGCTTTAGTTGTGTGCTCCAGTGACTCGAATAAACTTGGATGACTCCTACTTGCATATAGTTGCTCTTGGGCGGTTTTTCACATTGTATTCATACAGTGTTGCCAGGGCTAAACACATGAGCGCAAAACAAGTGGGAGGCCTAGGTGCGTTCGGAAGCAGTATCTTGCTGGTACCGGTAGCCCTGCTGTGACCTGTCAGATCTGTTGTAGGGGTTAGCGAAAGATTTTTGTCACTCTGAGGTGATGTTTTTATTAAGTCGTATTAGGGAGAGATGTCATTTAAGAGGTAGAGGAACTTTCCTGGTCGTGTTAGCAAATTTAGATTGGGATTGTTTGGTTATGCGTGTGTTATTGAGATTGTTTATTTGTTGTGTGTTGTCTCTGTCTACTTGAACTGCTAAGCCTCTTGAAGGCACCAATCTAGGTTGGTTTTATAGTGAATTTCCCATATAGAGAATAAGCTATTACTGTAAGTTTCGTGGTTAAGATCTGGACCCGGGACCGATTTACTTTTTTGTTTTGATGTCCCCAGAGGCCAAAAACGCTATCCGTTCAAATTCATACATGAATCCATAAGCGCGATTACTCAAGTAAAAATTATCCGATTTTGATGAAATTTGGTATAAACGTGTTTAAACTTTTATTTATTTAAACGAGTTTGTGAATCAGCATAATCGGACTATGGGAACAGAGGCTTATGGGGGGTTGTAGGCTATGGGGTAAAAATTGGTTTTACCCATTTTTCACCTAAAAACACAATATTTTGCAATTTATTTCTAAACCAATTTTTATAAAGCTTCAAAAAAGAAATAATTTAGTAACTTATAGGCCTAAGCGTTGTTATGCCTAAAATTTTCGGAAAAAATTCTAATAAAGTAAATTTAAAATTTCTATGTTAATTTGGTGAATAAATAAACTGTTGTAGTTTGCTTGATTATTGGCATATTTTAATGAAATTTGGCTAATTAGTTTATTTCATTCTAAGCTATAAATAATTCAATAAAAAACGCACCTAATTATCTTATCTGTAGCAGCAAAGCTAAGTAGGCAACTGTTAAAATTAATTACCTAACACCTCTGAGGGACCAACTTTAGAAATTACAGCTATATCCTCAGTGTTAGCGTCTTGGACTGCGGTGAGTGAGGGATGGGATCGACCCCTATCACATCCAAAGAACATATATGGGTTTGAACTGTTAGAACTAAAAGCATTTGATTACACTGTAAAATACCTCATGTAAAAAAAAATGCCACTGGCGTGGACAAAAAAAGACGTCTGCAACTACTGCAGACTGTCTAGACGATTGACCCCAGATATGACTCGTCGACAGGTTGTACGTGAACACCGGGATTTCAAATCAAAGAGGTCCATTCTGAAAACTTTGTGGCATAGAGGTTTTAAAACTTCGAGTTGTGGGGGTAAAGCTCAAATTAAATGTATGGCTTATCCAATGAAATGGGAGTTATAGAGGTAAAATTTAACCAGAAAACAGATTATGTTTTGTTTTCGTATCATAATTTCTTCAAGTTAAGGCAGGTTTTTATCAAGGGGGTTGGAAATAACTTAATTTGTGATATGGAGGATTTCGAGGTTCGTGATAGCGAGAGTCGACTGTAGGTAGAAATACCTCAATTCCCACGTTGAAGCTGTAGCAAGTTTTAGATCCAAAATTAAAGTTGAGTTGTACAACTGACAGTGTGCGCTGACATCAATTCTGATGTACGTCAAATATTATTTTAGTATGTTCTGCAAACTCTAGTATGTTTTACGTCACAACTATCATAAACTTGTGGAAAAATGTAATTTTGACAATAAGGTACCCCACCCTGTGAGAGAACCATCAACTATGTTTAATTTAAATAAATTATTGACTACAGCAGCTGGTCCGTATAGGTGGGATGTCTACTCGAGTATGTACCAATTAAACTCAAATGTTCCTTTTCAAAGGTTTCTCGTTCAATGAAACTTACTTGATAAAACCAGATATGACAAATATGTTTGGATTCCATTGAGTTATAGTCTGTTGGTGTAGTGAAGAGGAGGGGAGTAATTTAACAGATATGGTATCAACTGGTTTACTGGGACAAGACAAGGAAGTTTACTCTGTTTATTTATTGTATGAAGCTAGGAATAGATTTGTTGCTCTCATGTTTATAAACAACCGCTCCCAACAGGTTCTCATATTACACCTGACTTCAAAATATAAACAATGCTAGTTTAATAATACTGTACACAATTAACGAGTCTTCTTCACCCCTGTGAAAACAATAAAAACATGCCTTGGATGTCCCTCGCTCCGGATGGAATATGTAAAGATATTATTGTTAACACTTTTTCCCCTTACAGATTAATGTTGGTTCTAGGGCCCTCATACATGATATATCCACGACAAGACAATCATAGTAAAAGTACAAAAATAAAGTAACGTAAATTGAGTCACTTTTAAACACTGATAAAACTAATTATTTTTTTTCATTTTCAACTTTTTTTAGGAATAAGAACTCTAATATAACTATTTGACTACATTGATACCAAATTTCAAGAAAATCTGTTAAAAAGCGGCCTCCAAAACGGGGGACGAAATTAACATGTTTTGTCGGAGGCTACTGCGCTACTAGCCTTTTACAAAACTTGGCTCAGGTGGCAGATGAATCACCGACGTGTTGATTTAGTAGTCTTGTGTTTACGATGTTTTCAGAATGGCTCTTGGAATTAGTCATTCATTGAATGAAGCCATTGAATCGTCAGATAATATTAATATTTCTGATAATTTTTCCTTTTGAGATGAAGTGAATCATAAATATTACTGTTAAGTTATAATTGCTGATCAGTCAGCCAATACTTTTTATGTTTGTGTTTTTCCACACAGTTGTCATTTTTGTTAAGGAACCGTCCAAACGCTGGTCTTGCTACTGTTAAACATTGACTTTTTGTCATAAAACATCAATAATTGGTTACCCAATAATATATAGTATCTGACTGTTTTTAATTTGCCTTATTTATTAGCTAGTCAGCTTTTAGCTCATCAGTTCATTTGCTTATTGTAAGTTGTTAACTCAGAAATTTAGGTTATGTTTGCGTTGTGCAGCCGAAGCCGACCACATTTTGCCAAACTTCGCTGTCGAGTTGTTCTTTCAAATGAGAAGGGGATGTAATTTTTTCCCCTCAAATCACCTAAATTTGTGAACAGAGAATAAAATATTTCACACTTAGAAGTCATCTTCTATCACTCACTTTGTGACTTCAAAATCTGTGATATATTTGAATTTATTTACAATTTTCTATTGTAAATCCCATCAAAACACAAAATCTATTGTAATTAATATTATTCTTTACATTTTATACAAATAACATTACAATATTTTTCTTGAATTCACTAAAACATCATCAACTATAACTCTTAATTCACAGATTTGTTTATTTTATTATATAAAAACTGTTTTCCTCTAAGAAGGACTTATACATGACGTATTAGTATTTAAAACTTAAAGCGCTTACACCAAAACTGTCAGACTGGAATCAATTGGGTGAATAGATTACATGAAGTCATCCCGGGATGAGTCTCTTAATCCAATGATTTTCATTTACATTCCAATTGCAGGTTCATTTAGATCCCTTTTGATCCTTGTAACACATGTTATTATACAACGTTACTAATAAATAACCAAGTATAATTTGTTTTATGCTGAAGAACATATGTATACTTTTTATAATAGATACCACATTGTAAATGATGTTTTTTGGTATATTTTAATCAATCTTTACTTTTACACTTTTTTACTATGTGACGGCCATAATAATTTAAAAGTAAAATATTACTTA